TTTAGTTAAGAGCTGTTCAGAACTGTTTACATGCATAAAGTTAAAAATTAGTTAATTACGTATATATCCATGTAACATCTTATTTATTCTGCAGGATATCAGTTTTTCTTTGAAGAGCAGTTTGAAAAAGAGGGGGATATTTTACATTTTAATATTTCATTTACGGAATCATTTTTGCTCAATACTTTGAGAAATGCTTCATTCTTTAGATGCTTTACAGTTTTTTGAAGCTTGTTAATTTTTCTCAGATGATATTTCATTTTTATCAACATATCTTTATCCTTTTTGTTTTTCGTGGATGGATTTGCAGCAGGTAGTGCTACTTAATGACATGAAAATGTTGACTTATTAGTTTTTAATGCAGTCAATAACAATAACATAACGAAAATAATTTCTACAAATGTAATATTATTGGTGGCATCTATAATATAATCAGGTTATTGGAGTTTAGACATAATATTGCAAAGCTATTGCCTTGTTTGTAGAATGTGAATGTAAATAATGTTTTCTTGTTAGAAAAAAGTGTTTATATTAGATTGTCTAATCTTTTTTATATAAAACCAATGTACTTTTACTTTCCATTTTGCTTAAATGTCATGTTACATATGCCATGTTAAAAATTAGTTAATTACTCCGTCACTTACGTCCATCAATGTACCAACGGTTTTTCTATGTACCAATGTATGTAATGTAAATAAAAAATATGTATTTCAAAAACCACTTTTATTTGAAAAATAGTTCCTTTTTTATATTAAAATGATTGCTAATCGTTTCAAAAGTGGTTTATGAATGTAAAGTACCATAATTTACAAATAACTTTGTGCTTTTGTTTTCGTTTTAATTTAGCAATATATATCATTGAAACGAAAAACTACAAGCTATATCTATCTATATGGTATTTTACATTCTTAAGCCATTTTTGAAACGAAACAACCAAGACGACAACTAAAAAAAAATTACGTGTCAAAATTCCCGCGCAAAAAGTTTTAGGGGGCACGACAGAGATGGCGTGCATTATTGGTGCCATTTTCTTTGTTTGAAGTTGACATTCTTCCCGCCTAAGGGTATTAGTGTTCTGTGCACACGCCTACTATCTAGTACATTTGTAAGCGTGTGCGTCTGGACGGCGCTGTTCAAACGCGTGACTATGAAACCAGCCCTACCGACTTAGTACCTAATTGGTAGTATAAGTTGTTTTTACACGTACATTAACTTATTATGTTTGAATTAGAAATAAAACACAGATTAATTTCATGTTTATTGTTCTTTTTCTAAATTGGAAATAAGAATATTGTCTAAAAACTGTGTAGGGATGTCGATATTATTTTGATGTCTCGTAAAGCTCAAGTACCAAATAATAGTCATAACATCGGCGCAGCAACCGATGGTTCTGCGTACAACGATGCAATTACAGCAATATTGCACGATTGCTTCTCTGTTCATTTTTAAACAATATTGTACCACCAGCAGAGCCGCTATTTACACATAATACACTTTCCATTGCGTATGCGTAAGTCCGTTTATGAATGCTAGGTTATCGTTTGAGTGGTACACAGTTCCAAAAATCACAACAAGGTAAGTAGTTCTTGAAAGCAATCAGAGTCCGTTAAAATAGCCAAGTCGTAATGTTCAATATATAGTCCCGAAAGTCACCACAACACCGATACAATTATGTACAAAGACAATTACAATTGCAAACAACGCCAACCAATGTAACTTTGACAGAATTAGAGATGACGGTACAAAGTAGGCATGTCCATTTGAAATCGTTTAATCGATTGTTTATAGTAACAGAATCAATTTTCCAGATCGATATAGATCTGAAGAATCCTTGTCCGATGTCGATACAGAAACCTCTCGAATCGGACTTATAAGAACTAGCTATATTTCAAACGATTCAAGAAATACTTTTGCATAGTTGGAACATCTGTTCCTTGTGACAGACAGAAAAATTGTTCTGTTCTGGGTTCGATCCCAGGGTTGGGCAAATTATGATTGGGTTGTTATTACTTGAAGTTCCCAGTAATAGCACGGAGTCTGGATTTGTGTCCGGTGTTTGGCAATACGCTCATCACCTATTACATGAGATGTATAACATAACAGTACTTACACACCTCTACCTACTCCTTCTGGAAAATACTGGCGTAATGTTATGTTTATTAATTTAATGATTTTTCTATACAGTTACTTGAATTTACGGTAAGTTATCGTCAATAATGTTCTGTGTCTATATTAGGCATGTTTGAAAATGTCGCGATTGATCAAAAATAGATCTGTTAATGCTTGATTTAATCGAGAATCGATTCTAGTATGTTCGATTTGAATCGATTTGCAGATCGTATTTTTTTCATGGGAGACTGACAAGTGACCATTTAGTGACATCAGAAATAGGAGCGCTAAATACGATACGAATTATGAATATTTCCTAAGATTTATTATAGCCGTACGTTACAAACAGTATACCATCTATATAGTATATATCATCTTTCGTCATACGATAATATTAATACCATAACACTGTCCTACTTTACTTATAATAACACGTACGTCTCTACTTCTTCCATACTTGTAACAATATTAATAATAATATCTGTATCTAGTCTGCAATATTGCTCTTTAAAAAAAACACATTTATAATTAATGCAGTAACGATAACAGTATTTTTTTAAATTAATTGGCGTAAACTCGTAAGTTATCGTTTAGTAAGACATAAAATATTCTCCTGTCTCCTATCATTAGAAAATCCTGAATAATTATCTTTACGAATATTTTTCTTCAGCAATATTCTAATTACCTATTCAAAATCGAGTACGACATTCAATCGGTATAGTAGGTTTTTAAAATTATAATAATATAAAAGAATATAAAGAAATGGTAATATAATATTTTTATTGTAGCTTCTTTTAGCAACTTTATTCGAAATAAATTAAAATGTAATTCAGATAAAAAAATATACGACAGTTCATTAAAAATTCAATAATCGATTACAATCGATTAGGCATCCCTAATCATTTTTCGACGCCACATGATATTTGGCGAAGATGGCGGCGATTAATGTTATTAGTCGAATATAATACTTTTTAATGTTCACTTTTGCATGCAGCTAGTCCGTGTTATAAAAGTATTTGCAACTAATATAATAAAATAGAAAATTAATTATCGTGTATGTCCGATGCTTTTATTACACAGGGCGGTTTTGGACATTGTCCTTTAGTAATTTACATCACAACGAATAAATATTGTATTTTTTACAAATAATTCAATATCACAAAAAACTAAATAATAGTAAATTTTAGTAATTTACATCACAACGAAGAAATATTGTATTTTTTTACAAATAATTCAATGTCACAAAAAATATACACATTTTTATAGACATATTTACCTTTCTTATGATGCATAGGTGTTTATGTTTAATTGAGACTAAGTAGTTAAATAAATCGAAACAAACACCTACTTCTCGTAATTATACCGCGAGGTCTCGAGCGCTTTCGACTCGCTCGCGAAGGCAAAATATAAGCAAGATAGAGAAGCTACCTATCAAGGTCTCATACACATTGTGTAATTTAAGCAACTTAAGAAAAAGGTAGTTATGAGTTTTCTTTTAGTTGAGATTTTAAATTAAACACCAATAATAAAATTAAGTTTATTGACATAATAAATATATATATTTTTTTACAAAATCATATTATTATCATCCACTTTTTAAACAAATTGTAACAAGTGAAAACAATATACCGAAAAATGAATGATCTTTTTTAAATATGAGAATTAAATTACTGTCAATACATAACAAGGAAAATCAAGTGAGTTGAAATCGTAGAACACATCCTCCATATAAATAAAGTGAAGTTAAATAAAAAAGAGAGTATAAGTCGACAATCGTAAACAAAAATAACATTATTATAACACAAGAACAAAAACTATGAGGTAAGAGCATGACGAAACATCAATAAAAACTCATAACCCAAACCAACCAAGACCAAATAAATAAAAAAAAACAAAGTAAAACATATTGCAAACATATTTTGCTATTTGTACCTACCCTTATTTAGAACTATTGTGGTTACGTCCATGGATACCAAACTATCCACAACGAAAGACCTGAGGAACACAATAACATTTTAAAGGAATCTTCAGTGAATACAGTATAATTCTGATTTTAAAGTGCATTATTATATTTATTACGAACTATCATTCGTTGCTTAAAGATAATTTTACTGAAAAACAAAGTAAACAAGATTAGATTCGGGCCGACGACTTCACAATGGTCATTCGATTCGATCGATTCTACACTTAGCTGTGATATGTATACGTAATTATAAAGCCCAAATCATCTAGTTTACTATGATGTGTAATAATCTAAGAAATATTAAATAAAACTAAAATACTTACGACATAATCGCTGGCACTACAAAAACACTTCACAAAACACCGAGTGTAGAGTAGACTGAAGCACTGAAGTTAGATAATTATTTGTTCATTCGTCAAGGCTTGTTACACTGCCATCTCCTATTTAGTACGTAAAATAGTTCGTCAGCTATCGATTCCATGTACAAAACTCACAAAAAGAACCGCAGCTGTCCATAGATTTCAGTTTTATACAACTTGACGCTATGGATACTATAGTATCCAGGACGTACAACGGTACTTTTGTTTTGGATACCGTAGTATCCTGGACGTTTCAGCGGTTATTTACTATTGTAAACCAGCTTTTAACTACAATTTCACCTGATGTTAAGTAGTGATGTAGCTTAAGATGGTGAAGTGTACTGACTTAACTAAAGATTACTATGCTTTGAAGACTGAACTTATTCCATTCCTTTGCATACCGCATGTACGCATGACGAACGATGTAGCAAACCGTTTAGTTCGAATGCGTGGTAAGTGTAAAACGAAAAGGTCGAGACACCGTGACCACAATTCAGTCAAGAGGACGTTATTATCATTAAATGATGCAGGTGTAACTTGTGTGTATAAGGGGTAGTGTGTATGGTTACCGCGGTGGGTGGCGGTGGCAGCAGTAGGAAGCGCCAGTGGTGGTGCGGCAGCGTGTTGGCGTGCAGCGCGACCGCGGCGGCCAGCAGCAGTGACAGCGCGAGGCGGTGGCGCGCGAACAGCGCGCGCGCGACGCCGCGCTGCGTGGCGAGCGTCGCGCCGCGCACCAGCGCCTCCACGCGCGCCTCCACGCTCGCCTGCGCAGGCGTCGTCTCCACCACACGGTTGAACACCTGTCCCACCACACCACACGCGTCACACAAACCTCACACGACACACGACACTCAGCAATACATTACTCCACACGCATGCGACCTTTTTTACTGGAAATTAACAAGAATAGGTCAACTCGACCGGCGAAAGGTGTTATTTGACTTATACTCAGGAAAAGTAGGGTACTTTGGGCGTGGATACTCAGAGGAATTCTCCATTACCAGAAATGATGGTACCTTCTTGGGGTAGCCTTTGGTAAAAGGGAGCGGAGCTAAGCCTCCAGCCACCTGCACTTACCAAACGAAACGCAAAAGTAAAGCTTCTACTTCACGCTGATATTATGTGAGTTCGTGGTACCTTCTCGATTTGAATCTCTGTCCATGTATATCCACGTACCAACATATATAATATGCAATTTAGATACAGATAGTAAAACAGGCTCACATTGGATAGCTTTATACATCGATACGAATGGCAACGGTCAATATTTTGATTCATATGGACGATCACCGACACGACATCATCTAGAGTTTTTAAAAAAAAATTGTAAAAGATGGAATTGGAATGTTGATAGGGTTCAAAATTAGTCGACTTCATTTTGTGGTTAATTAGCAGTTTCGTGGTCACTTGGAATGGAAGGCCAAATTGGCCTCCAAAAAGCTTGGCGTGCTCACCTGAATGATTGGCGCTCCCCCACTGTGCAATTTAGAAGATGTTTTCTTCCTCGCACAACTTCCTTGTGGAATCGATTATGATTTTCCAGACCGATACGACTTAGGGACCTTCAAGAAAAGAGCCTACTCTTTTTAAAAGGCAGGCAACACATCTGCGATTCTCCTGGTTCCCCTAGTATTGCAGTTGTTCATGGGCGGCGGTAGTCACTTACCATCAGGTGAGCCGCATGCTCGTTTGCTCCCTCTCCTATAAAAAAATATTGCTTAATGTATTTGCTACGAGTATAATATAAGCTTCAGGGATATTCAATGCATAGTTTTACGAACATATTTACAGGGAACACATTGTACAACGATATATTAGTGGATTAGATGTATCGATCCTATTTTATAGATAATAAGCAATAACATTTTTGGAAATAAAAATTGTAACAAAATTAAGGAATGTGTTTTATTGATGACTAGCTGTGCCCTGCGCTTTCACCCGCGTCATCACGTGTCCGAGGTGCGCGACGTGACCTAGTTCAAGCATTTTATAACGGCTAGGGCTTAAGCGTCGTTCGCGCGCCCAGCCAAGTATTGAATTATTTTAATTTTACATTATCTCTTAAACTATGCATCCAAATAACATGGTATAAAGAACAAAGTTTATCTTCATAACATTGTCTTGATGATGAAGTAACTTTCGTTCGTAAGGATATATAGGCCATGCCTAATAATAACGCTCATAAGTTACTTTTAAATTTTCAATATTTTTTTGTCACAAAATACCAAATTATGGCTTACGTATAAGAAATAGACATATGGTATCGCGGACTTTTTTTAGACGGAGTAAAGGTCTATATTTTCCTGAACATTATATTTACGTATCCCTAACGATAACACCAGCGTACGCGGATGAATCATTTCGGGAGTGCTTTTTCTTCTGACTTGCTTAACAAATATCCATATTTAAGGGTAGCTGAGTAATATAGCTTAATGCTAGATAGCCTATACTATTTCACATGAATCTGGCTATAATATGCAGAAATAATTTTTCAAATCGGACTGGTAGTTCTAGAGATTAGCGCGTTTAAACAAACAAAAAAACAAAAAACTTTTCCGCTTTATTATACTAGTATAGATTCAGAATAGCTTGGTAGTAATGAGCAAAGAAGTATAAAACAATAGCAGGGTGTACAACGAGTAATAGATAAGAGCGGTAAGGACGGTGTTCAAGGAACAATAGATTAGAGGAAAGGCCGAGTAATGGAACGCTAATGAGGGTGCAGGCCCACCGGATATCAATTAGATATTAGTTAATTGATCTTCTCATCTCTGGAACCGTGCATCCTACGTAAAAACGGATTCATGATCGCAGATTCGTTATCAGAGCATGCCAAAACCTTTTTTTGTTAGGATCCGTCAACCCACCGTCAGCCGATGAGGGCTGAGAGTTGTACCAGTTCTGACTCAGTGAGCCAGAAATGGTACAAACTAACCATTCAAACAATATCTTGCATTCTATTTATATAAAAACTAAACAAAAACACTTCCGCATAATAGCTCCTGAAGTCAATTCTAAAATAAATAAAAGTCAGAATATAACGAAAAATGGTGTATAGAAAAAAAAAACTCGACGTCAAAAACTATAATATGATAATCAATTTTTATCTGTCGACTTCAAAAAGGAGACGGTACTCAATTCCGACTGTATGTTTTTTTATTCGACTGTATGTGTAACCTCATAACTTTTTACTGGTTGAACCAATTTCGGTGATTCTTTCTTTATTTGAAAGCTGGTGCTTCACATGTGGTCCCATATGAATTTGATCAAGGTCTGACCAATAGTTTTTGAGTTATTCTTAATAGTTTATATTGAAGTCGATTGTACAATTTTTTTAATTTTATTGAGTAATTAGGTACGAGTACATGGCGTATTGGCGGGTTATGTTAATAGACGTATATATGGATTTGATATAATAAGTAGTAACACACTCTTTTTACCTCCTTACGAGTTGAATTCTCCAAAATTCTTTCTTAGCGTTTATCTACGTCGAGAAAATAATATCTATATATGCCTTTCAAGTCAATCGGGCATATAATTTTGGAAATTTCGTGATGAGTGGGTGAATCAGCGGAATGAAAGTCCCGTTAAAATGAGTTCAGCCGTTTCGAAAATTAGCCGTTACAAAAAAAACCGTCCAACACACGTTTCTAATAGGGGATTAAATATTTTTTATTTGTTGTTACAGCGGCAACAGAAATACACATTCTCTGAAAATTTTAACTGTCTACCTATTACGGATCATGAGATACAGACATGACAGACAGACGTGGTGGTTTTACGTAGTAGAGCCATGCTGCAGCTCTATTAGTAGTATAGTTGTAGCGCGATTGGGTCGGCTCGACCGGGGAAGGACCACGCTCTCACAGAATACCAGCGTAAAATAGCAACTTAACGCTGCTGTGTTTCGTATGGTGTAGAGAACCGGAGACCCTTTTTACTGGAAATGAGGCATTCCATCTTAGTCCTCACGGGTGACAACGCATCTGAATTTTGATTCGCAAACGAGGATAGATGTAAATGTCTATGGGCCACAGCAACCACTTACCATCAGGTGGACCATGTGCTCGTTTGTCACCCTTATCCTATATAAAAAAAGACGGGCGGACTGCAGAGGCTTAGTAACAGAGTTCCATACCCGATATACCTTGCCTTATCTTCACGCACAATCCCTGACGGGGTAGCCAGAGAGAACAGATCGCCAAGTGTCACGATCCTTACATATCTCTTTCGCTTCTTTCAGATTCATTATCTTCTTCATACATGCACGTCTAGGTATCCGAGTACTCTTGACCCTACCCTCTTCGAGCAATTTGCTCACATGGTCTTCGAAAGTTAGTCTCGGTCTACCTCGACACCTTTTAATATTAACTTTCGCGCTATATATTTTCTTCACCATTCGGTCTTCACTCATTCGCTCAACGTGCCCAAACCACCGAAGCACGCCCTTATCAATTTTTGTGATAAGGTCATCTTTCAAACCTGCCATATTGCGAATCTCTTCGTTTCGCTTTCGGTCGGCCATAGTAACGCCGCACATTTTACGAAGAGATCGCATCTCCACTGCATTCAACTTACTTTTATGCTTCTTCTGGCATACCCAGGTTTCGCTGCCATATAACAAAGTCGGTACCAACACTGCGTTATGTATTGCAAGGCGTGCACTCTTCGCTACGCCTTGCCTTTTGACTAACGCAGTCAGGGCACCATTGACTTTGTTCCCGGCAGCGACACGCCTGTCCACATCTAAATCACATCTTCCATCCCGGCTAAAAGCACTCCCCAAGTATACAATTTCATTTACCTGTTCTAGACATTCCTGATTTACCCATATTTCACACTTCGTTCTCTCTTCGTCCCTTTCAAATACCAGAACCTTAGTTTTATTAGCATTCAAACGGAGACCTTTAATTTCACATTCCTCTTTCGTACACGTGACTAATGCCTGCAGTTCTGCCTCTGATGGTGCAATAAGCACTGCATCATCAGCATACAGCAGACAATTTACTTTTATGTCACCCAATTTCACACCCAAACAGCTATCTTTCAGCTTTTGTAAACAGCTGTCGAGATACAGTATGAACAGCCAGGAAGACATGACACAACCCTGTATTACGCCCGTTTGGACGCTAAACATGGGTGACAGGTCATGCCCTACCCGCACACAGGCTTTACAGTCACAGTAAAGAGACTGCACAGCCCTTAGCAATCGGCCATCCACACCATACCCCGGCAACAGTTCCCACATTTTCTTCCTTACAACCTTATCAAATGCTTTCTCAAGATCCACAAAAGCACAGAAAATCTTCTGGTTAACAGCCAGAAGCTTTTCCGTGATCATACGGAGAGAAAACATTTGATCCGTGCATCCTCTTCCAGGTCTAAATCCGCATTGTGCCTCCCATAGAAATCTTTCCGATTTCTCTTGCATCCTACGTGTCAAAACCTTCGAGTAAACTTTACTTGCTAAACTGGTCAAGCTGATCGCCCGATAGCACCCGCAGTCAAAATGTGAACCTTTACCTTTATATAAAGGCACAATGACTGCGGATCGCCAATCATCCGGGACATCCCCCGTCCGCCAGCACAAATTGCACAGCAGATGAAAGCTGTCCCAGACGCGAGGCCCACCATACTTGACCATTTCAGCAGTAACTCTGTCTAGTCCCGCAGCCTTACCACATTTCAAACTTCGAATCGCACGTTCAATCTCTTTCATACTGATGACCTCAGTGTCATCGAGGTCCGGGTCTGGCGTGCCAGTCACGGCGTCATCCCCGGATCCCTCACTAAGATCATCACACGCATACATTTCTCTATAAAATTCGCTCCATCGCTGCATGACGTCCGATTTTTCTGAGAGGACGTCATTAGTTCTCGAAAGCACTTTGTTCATTCTTAAGGCCGTCGCACCACTTCGGGTCCTTCCAACCTCTTTCCAGAAGAGTTTGGAGTTCTCCTTAAAGTTGTGCGACAACCTTTCATCCGCTTCCATTCTACACCTTTCACGCACTTCCTCAATCAATGCTTTCGTGTGAACTTTCTGCAGCTTATATCTTTCTTTCATCTTCTCTCTCATATCCTTATCATTACTAGAGGCCAAGTAGTCTAACCATGCTTTCTTCTTCTTCTTTACAGCTTCTTTCACTTCATCATTCCACCATGCATCTCTTCTTTTACTACTGCCTCTTTTTATTGTTCCACACACTTCTTCCGCTGCACTTACCATTCCATCCCTATGGTTCTGCCATGTTCTTTCTACACATTCGTTTCTGCCATCGATGGTGTCAAGCTTTTCGGCTACCCTCGCATGATATTTGTCCCTAGTATCCGTTTCCTGAAGCTTCCAGCTTCGGATGCGACAGACCGACTGTGGTTCTGTCACTGTCGTCCGGTAGCGCCAACCCGCGAACAGACCCCTAAATCTAGTAATCACTAGATAGTGATCCGTTCCCAGGTCAGCACCCCTGAACACTCGCGTATCCATAACCTGTTTTCGCAGTCGGTCATCCACCAGGAACAAATCGATCATACTTCTCTCATTCTTTCTTTCTCTAGTATACATATGGATTTTCTTGTGATTAAACATAGTGTTTGTCACAAGAAGACCCTTTTCCTTGCATACCGCCAGTATAAGCTTGCCAGCATCATTAACCCTTTTATCGCCAAACTTTCCAAGTACCGACTCGTACCCTGGTCGAGCGGTACCAACCCATCCATTCAAATCACCACATACAACAATCCTTTCGTTTCCCCTAGCCAAATCTAGAACTTCTCTTACATTCTCCCAAAACTCCTTCAGCTCAGCCCTGGACGACGAAGCCACCGGCGCATAAACAGCCAAAAGGAATAACTTCGTCAGTCCCAATTTAAAGCGAACCCAGAGAAGTCTTGAGTTCACAAACTTATATTCAGTCATAACATCGACCAACCGAGAAGACAGCAGCACCCCCACTCCCTGGCAGGCGTTCTCGCTCTCCGGGACTCCGGACCATAGAGCTAACGCCCCGCCAGGGAGCTCTTCAGTACCACTGCCCTTCCGTTTGGTCTCCGACATACACACGACATCTAATTCTCTTTCTTTCATTATTTCGATCAACTCATTCGTCTTATCTCTCATGCCTCCTCTAACATTCCACGTGCCAACTCTGCACTCCGTCCTCCACCTTCCGCCGTGTCGGGCTGTGCGTGACGGGTGGCGGTCCCCATCGCCGCTTTGCGCGCTGCATTCCACACCAACGGGGACGAGCTGGTGTGCGTCGCCTTGGGGGGACGCCCTAACCCTCGTTGACATGGGTGCGCAGCTGAGTAGAATTGCAGCCCTGAAAAGGGCTGGCAGGGGTCGCGACGAGCACGCTTCTACAATGACCTCCTACCCGATATAGATAGACAAAAAAATTTAAATTGATTTTTTTGTAATAAGTACTGTATATATACTTTCATATGCATTTGGGGAAATATCTTCTTGGACCTCAAGAAGAAAATTTACCAGATTGGATTTGGAGTCCAACGGAAAATATTTAAATATCTTTTTTTTAAACATTGTTTAAGTCACTGTCCTTTCACACATTTGTTAAATGTATATGTGAATAAAGTTTATTCTTATTCGTATTTAATAAGCTGTAATTTTGGCCCGTGTAGTACCGATGTAAGAAATCCACTAGCCCGCACCATTCCGTGGGTGTCGTAAGAAGCGACAGAGGAAAACAAACCACGAGGTGAGCATTAATAATTAAAAAAAAAGGTGTGCCAAGAGTGGCAACTATGGCAAATATAGAGCCATGAGGCGATCGGTAAACAGACACTTCAATTATATTAATTTGTATAGATGTAGGTCTCGCCTGGCTGAAGTAGGCGAGCGAGAACTGGTACATGGGGTCGAGGTCGGCGAGCTGAGCGATTGCGAAGTAGAGCAGCGCGCCGCGCTCGGCCGCGCCGCGGTACCGTTCGCGCGCCGCGCCGATGTCGCGCTCCGTCACCTCCGCGTCGCGCAGCCGCGCGCTGATGATCTCCGATGTCTCCTGCAAGACAACGGGCATTAAGTCAAAACAATGGATTTTATCGCGTTTAATTTAAACTTTTTAATTCCCGACGTTTCGAGTGCTTTACAGCACCCATTGTCTCGAGGGGGACTGTGGTGTTTGACGTCCCGATGCCATAGTTAGCCCAAAGGTAATTTTTGGTCCGATCTACGCAAAATGGTGCTTAGGTTTGGATTTAACCCAGCCATCTTCTCTATTAATCTCAATATTAATAGCCTCGCGAATCGTCCATGGCTGGAATCCCTGTTTTTGCAAGTATTTGCGAATTTTGAACATGTTCAAGATTGTCCCCAGCATTACATCTGATTTGATAGATAACCCTCATAACCTGTGCAATAAAGCACCCGAAACGTCGTAAATTAAAAAGTTAAAATTAAACGCGATAAAATTCGTAAAATTAGTTTCTATTAACGTGTAGTGTACGCGGAAATATAAGAAATCATTATTAAAAATGGGTATGTACCATAGATTTTGCAGACTCTTTATAGTGCAGAGGGAAAACGAAACAGCGGCCCACGTGTTGCTGGTATATCCAGAGATAGCTGCATACTGAACTAAACATCTCGGCACACCGAGATCACTCTCCGAACTTGCTCGCAACACCATTAGAGGAGATTTCATGGCTCGCGCAAAATACGCAGCTTATACGTAGGTATTATTGCGGGAAATAGCCCGTCGTAAACTAAACTAAACTAAACTAATGGGCACCTGCTTATGACCACACGATATAAGTGAAACAAAAACGAATATTACTTATAATATTATACATGAAAAACATACATAATACTTATTATAATATTATTTTGTTATTATATTAAGTAATGAATAATAAAACTGTAATTATTGGAACAATGCACTCCTCGTACGACTCAGACAGTAAACATGGCTGAGGACGACTGGTGCTGAGTGTACACGATTACGATTCAGTGCACCACCGAGCTGAGACCACTTGATGTCAATTGAAGCCGCGTAAACCCGATTCAGCGTCACCAAACCGAGCGTGCCGGTTTATTTTCGTTCACTGCTCAAAGAAACGTTGTTCTCCTTGTCAAATAGTAAATGTGGCTGGTGACGATTGGTGTCGAGTAGGCACGATTCGGCTTTACCATTCGCTCTCACTTAACTTGGGTTAGACTCTAGAAAATCGCGTACTTATCGAATGAAATACCAATATTATAAACATGAGACGCCAAAGTTATGTTTGTAAATCAAACACATTTTCACAATTTTTTTCTAGAAATTGCCGACCTTGCTCTCGTTGAGCGTCTCGATGAGTTCTTCGTCATCGAGGATGTTCCCTGTGGAGGCCTCCAACAGGCGCAGGATCCGGTCCTCAATATCGAGGAGTGAGGCACGGTCGGCCTCGATGCGCTGTGTCAGCTCTGTGCGCTGCTTCTCCAGCTCGGGACGCTCCAGCCGCACCACATCCCTGCATTGCATCACGCACTCTCAATTGCAATGAAGGATTTTTTTTAAAGAAAAAGGGTGACTAACGAGCACTGAGTCCACCCGATGGAAAGTGGATATTATGGCCGATAGACATCTCCATATTTAGTCTGGATTAAGAATCAAAATGCAGATAAGTTGTCACCCCAGGGGCCTGAGATGAAATGCCTCGTATCCAGTAAAAAGTCTGCGGTTCTCTACACTCACCATAGGAAACACAGCAGCATTAAGTTTTACACTGGTATTCTGTGAGAGAGTGGTCCTTCCCCGATCAAGCCGACCCATTCGTGCTACAACCATAATATAGCTACAGCTTGGTTCTACCACGTAAAATAATTTTACGTTCACCAGATGTCGCTAGTTGGTGAGAGGTGAATTTACTTATTACACAAGGTCATTATAATTTAGAAGTTGCGTTTTAAATGAAAGTTTATAATTTTCTAGGACGTGTAAATACATAAAACAATGCTTCAGTGGTTTGCTCCTTAATTTTTTGCACCATTTTTACTCTTTTTAAATTTTTATTCTTTTGGAAATAACCGTAGTTTGATTTATCCATTTCTAATCTAATTATTATTAAATATAAGTAATTTTTAAAAAGGAATCACTAACTTTTACATTTTTCGAAATTAATTTCCCCCGCTATTAAAGCTGTCAAATATTTGACCTCGACTCTAAGTGGTGAAAGGCGGGAAAGAGTTGAGAAGAAAGCCCCTTATTCGTGGAATTTCGTTAACTTTTTTTCAAGCTACAATTTAAAATCACAATAAACTGAATTTATCAAAACATCCCTCAAATTTTTTACCCTACTATGAGTCAGCGCTTGACTACAATCCCACCTGGTGGTAAGTAGCGATGGAGCCTTGTGTGGTAAATGGTCTTAGCGTAACACAAGTAGTAAAATTAAACATTTTATATAACCGACTTCAATTTTTTTTATAGGATAAGGGTAACAAACGAGCACACAGTCCACTTGATGGAAAGTGGTTGCTGTGGCTCATAGACATTTACATCTATATTCAATTACGAATCAAAATGCAGATGCGTTGTCACCCGTGAGGAATAAGATGGAATGCCTCGTTTCCAGTAAAAAGGGTCTTTTATTCTCTACACTCACCATACGAAACACAGCAGTAGCAAAGCTGCTATTTTACGCTGGTATTCTGTGAGAGGGTGATCCTTCCCCGGTCTAACCGACCCATTCGTGCTACAACCAAATATAGCTGCAGCATGGCTCTGCCACGTATAAAATATTACTTGACTTTCAATAAAAACTACTGGTCAGATCTTGATCAAATTTATATGCGACCACATGAGAAGCACGAGCTTTCAAATGAAAAAAAAGGTATTGGTAAAATCGAAAAGAAAAAGGGAGAAGTCCTGAGAAAAAACATAAAAAATACAGTCGAAATGAATACCTCCTCCTTTTTTTGAAGCCGGTTAAAGATTCAATTAAGTCTTGCCTGAAGACGCTCAGATTGTATTCGAACAGAAAAACTGACGCTGGCAGATTTTTTTTATTGATTTGCGTTCAACAGTAGGACATGACTACGCTTCCTTATTACTACTTTTAGAACGATAACAAAACTACAATAAAAATAAAATATCTCACGCCAGCAACTGGTCCTCCAAGCCGGATTGGGTGACGGTAAAGTTGACCAAAGTGACCTGAATGCACACCTCAGGCAGGTAGTGCGGGTTGGCGAGTTTCGTGGTCATGTATAGTCGGAAGCTGGGATCGTATTCGATGTCGCTGTCTCCGAGGTGGATCAGGAGGCGCCCAGCCTAAATTATATGATGTGAAGAAAATGAACTCATTTTTTGGCTTCATCATCATCATCCGTTTATAGTAAAGCACAAAGAAATAATAACAAGTAATGACCGTTTCCAGCGTTTACACTTGCATAAAGAAGTCCATCAACGCCATTTTTTACATGTTTGCAAAAAAAAAACATGCGTGAGTGTCGTGGAACACTCGGTTCGAACGAAGTTCGTTATTATTGATAAACTTATTATATTATTGTTTAACAAATATAAATAAATGTATCACTAGCGTCTATTAAAATGAAGCGTCAATTAAAATAAAATACACTATGACACAAGGGCTAGTGACGAAAAAATCTTACTTTTTGTCGCCTAGCTCCCATCCGCCAAACCCGTACCGTCCGATAAGGAACTTCGTTCCAAAAAGATTTGAAAATTGGATAATCATCTCACACATTTATACAACCAAAATATGCGGACCGTATGAGTAGTTTTTAAGGTACAAGAGATTGAGTGTTGCAATCGTCAATTCGATTGATATGAGTGGTGACTGCGACAAGCTTTTTACGGGCTCAATTAAAATACTATAGTAGGGACACTTTAATAGGTCACTTTTGACACTTTATCAAAATAAACTTGTAACGGCGGTCACACAATATTATTATTTTTTTCAAAAATTAAAACGGCACAATTAAATAACTTTTATTCACTTACTAAATATAAATTTATTTTAGTAATGAAAAGAATTCAATTTCACAATTTACTTTGACTTTCTATACGTGAGAAACAATTTTTATTCTAAATAAAACTGAAGGTCGTTACAAGTTTGTCATGGTATACCCGTTACATTAATTTATAAATTTTAAATATAACTTAGAAGTTATTTTTAAAGCATTGATGTTAATTATTATACACAATAACTGCATTCAATTCACAGATGTTTGAAAACCATATCGATTCATTCAATTTAATCGTTTATTTTACGCAGGATGCCTCACTATGGAACTAAGATTGACATATGCAAAATATGACCTATTAAAGTGACACTATTTTAGAATAAAAATTCATATACGAAAACATAAAGCACGAAGACTAAAAGGTAAGGAACAATGTTAACCACAACCATACAAACGGTACACGGACCTGCATGAAGGTCTGCTTGAGTAGCACTGGCGAAAGCGCGGTGTCGAGCTGCTCGCCAAGGTCCTCGAGCAGAAGCGGCCAGCCAAGTCGCACGCAGCTCTCCAGCAGACGCAACAGCGCTGGGTCCGTGGGCTTGGCCACCTGCAGCCCGTTCTCGCGCTCCATGTTCTTTATCCAGCGGTTTGCCTAGAATGCAAACTGCTCTTGTGCCTCCGTAATGTTGTTGCCCTTTATAACAGGGTGAGCATACATTATATGTACATGTATAGACTGATTAAATATATATTTTTAAATATATCATATTTTAAACAACGTAATTTTTTCATGAAAGACTTCGCATAGTTCTTAGACCACGCAAAGTTTGCGGGCGCATTGTTGTGGGATGTCATCACTACAAAAGTCCATGTTTGGTTGCTCTTTGTTAACGACAGTATTCGGGGGATGAAGCAGTTCGCGTTCATAGGAAAAACTTGAAATCTGACTCCCTACACGTGTTCCCCGGGTAAACTCATTATTTCATATTTAAGTAATAGAATGCAGAAACTTATTATCAATGGTAAAAGTTCTTCCGGGTCACCTGTACTAATGGGTGTCCCTCAAGGCTCCATTCTCGGCCCATTATTATTTTAGTGTATATTAATAACTTACCTTCTCTTGTAGGGGATAATCATGATATACTATTATTTGCTGATGATACTTCCTTGATTTTTAAACTTAAACGTCAATCATTTAAATGTAACGAAGTGAATAATGCTATATCAAAATTAGTGCATTGGTGTAACGTTAATAATCTACATCTAAACGGAAATAAAACTAAACGTATTAAATTTGGTAGACTTATGAAAGGCTGTAATGATGATGATGATGTATTAAATTTACAACAACGAATGTTCAAAATCTGAGTACTAATGTGTTTTTAAATGGGGAAGAACTGAGCCCTGTTGAATCCACTGTTTTTCTTGGCATCAATCTCGACGCAAAGCTTCAGTGGGGCCCCCATATGTCCAAACCAGCAAGCAGACTGAGTTCTGCAACCTGTGCTGTAAAAAAGATTAAGGTCTCACTAGTGTCGAGACAGCTAGATTAGTTTGTTTCAGTTATTTCCATAGCATAATGTCTTATGGAATTTTGCTAAAGGGAAATGCGGGTCATTCAGAAACTATTTTTGTTTTACAGAAAAAGGCCATTAGAGCTATTTACAACCTAAAACCGAGAGAGTCTCTTAGCGATAAATTTAAACAAATAAATATATTAGCTTTGGCCTCTCAGTATATTTACGAAAATTTAATGTATGTTCACAAAAACAAAGGTAGTTTTAGTAAAAAAAGCGATGTGCATTCTGTAAACACTAGGAACAAACACAAGCTAGCAATACCAGTTTCTCAACTCCATTCATTCTTGGGTCTCTTGTGGTGGTTTCCTAATAGAATTCCTCACATAATTGTTCATCAGGTCTGTGGTGAGTTTTGTTGAGAAGACATTGATCAGATTCGATTTTCCAAAATTTGTTTAAGATCAAATTCTTCTTCGATAACTTGAGTGTGTTAAGTTGTTATGGAATTACCACAGCTTGATTCCGTTTTACGACCTTCAGATACTTGGCCCGACAAAATCCAGCCGAGTCTAGTCTGTTTTGCCATATAGGGGTTCCTATTGGACCATTAAATATCTCTTCTAATAATATCTGAGAATAGACCTCTGCACCCAACAGCAAATCTATTTTGTTTGGAACGTTGAAATTTGGATTTGCCAAACTCATTTTTAGCATACAATATAGCTGTATGTCAACCTGTTGTTCAGGAACAAATCTGGTAAAATTTGGTAAGAACATGCGCTTTCACTTTAATATTGAAGGTTGGATCATGGATCGATTGTAGTTTGATGTGTACTACATGTTTAGAGTTGACCGTTGTATTGTAGTCACTCCCTACTCCAGATATGACACTATTCCTTGATTCCTTCTTCCACCCAAGTAATTGAACTGCAGACTCCGTTATAAACGAAGCCTGTGATCCTTGGTCCAGTAAAGACATGAGTGTCATAAAAGATCCGTTGTTTGTTTCAACTTTAACTAAAGCGGTTGCTAAAAGGACTTGACTCTTTTTGTTAGAGAAACAAGTGGTAATGTTGGTCTGATCATTTTCGTCTGATGCTATCGCTGTTGCCGCGACAAACTTGTTACTATTCGATTGAGTTGTTACCTTTACGTTATGACCGAATGATGTGTGCCTAAGCAGTTAAAACACAAGTTGTAGGTTTGGACAAAGTTACGACGTGCTAATAGAGTTTCATTTGCGAACTTCTTACTATTTCCGAGCTTATGATCATTATCAGAACAGTAGGACAGAGAACATGGAACAGATATACCTTGTCATTATTTTTAGTGACTACATAATGGGATTGAGTACATTTTGTGATTTTCGAATTTAAAAATTCGAGTGACCTGTATCTGTGTTCTAAAAATTGCTTTAATGTGGGCAAGTTGTTTGTAAGGTTACAAAATGCCTCCCACTGATGGCGTGATTCACTATCTAATTTTGAGCACAAAAGATAAATTATAATAATATCCCAATTTTCAATTTTCACGCCAGTATTTTTCAACGCATTTAAACACTCGTTAATAGTATCAAACATTTCTTAACAATATTGTTTTTGGCTAAAAACCTATTTAAAATAGAGTTAGTCACATATTTCTTATTGTTAAATCTTTTCTCCAAAAGATCCCAACACACTGAATAATTGTCACTTGGTAGATTCTGCAACAATTGTTCCGCTTCACCGGTTAAATAGCTTTTTAGGTAATCAAGTTTCTGCACCTTTTGTAACGAATTATTATTGTGATTGAGTGATAAGAAGAGGTCACGAAGTGGTCCACTCTGAGTACCTTCCGGAGAAACTAGGAATAGAAATCTTTGGAAGCTGCATACTAATTTGCTCTTCATTGCTGCGCAACGCGTCCTAGGTTTTGGTCGATACGCGAGTACATTTTTCCAAGCTTGTTTTTAATTCTGTTTTATAATCTGCATATAAGTCTTCTGTTTTGTAAAAGTCCTCGATAATGTAATCTAATTCGGCATGATCAACATCAATAAGTTGTTTATGTACTTTGTTAAATGTTTCCCACTGTCCATTCAAAATGTCAATTCCAGTTTATATGTAGTTTGAAGTTAGCCTATCTTTTTGAGTTTTCTTAAAATTGACTCTGGCCTTTTCCATGCGGTTGTACATATCTAACTGAGCTCTTATTTTGCTTTCCATTGTTATCTTTATTTCTTTGAAATTCGAATATTTTTACAAGTACTATTGTAAGGGAGAGAGCAAGTTATTTTTTCTATGTCCAGTATGTGCGTGATTTTTTTTCGTGAAGTGTTTTGGTTGTAAACACTTAGGCAAAATCGGGCGTGGATTCCCCGCCTTAACCACAATACAACATACAATTTTACAAGTCCATGCACTGCTAATAAATCTCGATATTTTCTAAGTTGAATATCTCTTTACTTTAAGGTTTAATTTATTTTCAATATCAAACTTGTATTTCCAATACTGATATAAATGTACTCACAGTTTTACTCCCATAAAAACTTGCTCTCCTCAGTTCCGTCTGCTGCTCAACTCCGTAAAAATCACAAACCGCTAGATAGCGCCACTACTGACTGGTTCACTTCACTCTGTATCCGGCTCCGAAGCACATGAGTAAGTAAAGAAACTGTACAGAAGCAAAGCTTCTAAGAAGCTGTCAAAATTATTACCTATTTTGGTAGGGTTCGCACAGGAGGATAAAATAATCAAAACGTTTATCAGCTATTTAAAAGATAGTTAAGATAGAATATTTTTTACAAACTACATATTCTAAATAGTTTACTTTTATAATTATTGTTCTTCAACAATTTGTTGTGGCTTTTAATTAAATAGTAAATTCTAAATCTAATGTAAAGTTTTTTAAATAATCTATTGGAAAGCACTCACATGGCATAACAAATATACAATCTTGCACACATTTTAATATTTCACTACCAATATTTACAATGTTTCTTTTGAGATCAAAATATTCGCGAAATTTTTGCTTAAGCAATTCAACAAACGCGATAAAAATGTCAGGAAGTATTATTAAAAAAAACCTGATTGAACACTTTCTTTATTAAAATCCTTGTAATGGCTGAAAAAAGAAACTTTTCCTATATTTATTGGTTGCATCGAAAAGCTCTTTTATATTTATTAGGAGATCGCAGTGTACTTGAGTTTAAGAAATCGAACAAATTATTAATTTCGTTTACAAAATCAGCGGTATCTCTTGCGGCAAACTCGATAAGATTTAAATCTGCGTAAACCATATTTACTATTTTTTATATTTCATTAGATACGAATTATTCTTTAATAAAGAAAATTTGACACTTATTATTTTTTACACAACCCTGAGTTTGAGCACTGGCCGAGCCGGTTTAAAGCAGTTTCTCTTTATACGTGACGGGCCGCCAGTGCTCACCGCACACACGCGCCTCAAGCAAGACACAGCGTGGTTGTATGAAGCTTTGCTTCTGTACGGTACGATTTCTTTACTAATGTGTCCGAAGACCATGAATGAAACACCAACATTCATTGCCAAAAAAAGACAATTTATTTCGATAACATTTTTAACTTGTGGTTCCGTAAAAATCAAATGGTTGCGAGATTTTTCCCTAGCGACGTAGAAAGTGCAGTAGCAAAGGTAAATGAGGATTTGCATCACATCTCATTATGGTCAGAAGCAAATACACTTGTGCTTAACCCATGCAAATCCAAATTCATGGTGTTAGGGTCAAAACGAAATTTGTTATAAGCATTCGTGGAGAACGGGTGGAACGTGTAAGTGAGACTCGTAATCTAGGATTGCTAATGGACCAGGGTCTTCGCTTTGGAGAATCATGTACTTGAAATAACACGCAACTGTTTTTATAGACTCAAAGTACTGTACCAAGTGCGTGATTATCTCAGTGAGACTGTTCGCCTGCGCCTATGTGAGTCACTCGTACTTTCAAGGCTTGTGTACGCAGATACTGTGTGGTCCTAGGTTACTTGCTAAAACAAATAGGTCAATACAAAGGGTCCAAAACGCATGTGCAAGGTACATCTTTCATATACCTCGATATCATCATGTAGATCCGTATCTTAATAAATCGGACATATTAAGGATGTCATTGAGGCGAGATTTACATTTAGCTACACTTCTTTTCGGATTCATAAAATCAGAAAGACCAGAATACCTCTTTCAAAAATTAAAATGAATAAGAGCAGAAGATGGTCGAAGCATCAGAACGGTTACCCCGATACTGGCAACCCTATATCATCGAACGGCCGCGTTTCGTGGCAGTTTTAGATACATGGCCATTAAATGTTGGAACAATATACCGCCACCTATACGGGAAACTAAATCTGTAAACGGTTTTAAAGCTCAATTAAAAATACACCTTTTAGCATCTCAAAAGTCATTATTTCACGTGCTGTGGCAAGCTATTTCATAGATACGATTTAGCAAACATATCATGGGGATAGTTAATGTGTATATAATATATAATAAAATATATTATACATATGTTTTGTGTGTGAGTGTGTATAGGTACATTTACGTATGTGTATTTTTTAAGTTGTATTTAATATACACACACACACACATATATATATAAATATATATATATATATATATATATATATATATATATATATATATATATATTTATATATATATATTTATATATATATATGTGTGTGTGTGTGTGTGTGTGTGTGTGAGTGTGTGTATGTATATATATATGTGTATATGGATATATGTGTATGTTTAATTTTAATATAATATACAATACTTTTATGTATATACTTGGAAATATTTACTTGGAGTGAATGGTAGATTCATTATTTTTCGTTTATGTTATTACCGATATAGTTGCGGGCGCAATACGGAAACAATATTTATTAGGGCTCCGCTGAAAATCAGCGCTGCTGCAGTACCTGTGGTAGCATATGCTGAGACGGAATCCTTTTGGCATCACATCACTCACTCCTGCTGAGATTTATTTTATTTTTATTTATGTTTTTCGACTACCTTGTATGTTTTTATGTCTCATTATTTCTAAATGTATATTTTGTATGTGTATTGATGCTAATAAATATATATCTATGTCTATGTCTAGATTCACAGAGGGAAAGGCAACCAATTGAAATTATGTGTTTAATCACTTTTTATGTAGTATGCTTTTTTCTATAATGATAATTGTGGAAAAAAGAAACTTAAATAAAATTAAGTGATTGATCACACTAGTGTATTATCCATGTATCATGTGTAGTTTGGCTTGCCAACCGTCTTGTGAGTGCCGAGACGTCACGTTTTTAGAGCCTTAGCGGATGCGTCTTGCGGAAGATGTGTGCAGGGCGCCAATTTTCGGGGCGAAATATCTAGAAGTGTACGCACTTTTTGCTTCATCTATTCGAATGAAGAACGAAAAACCAAAATCAAAAAATACTCAAATGTGTAAAATATTACGAAAAGTATTCGTTTAAACAGTTAAAATAAAAACCTCGTCTCTTATTTTTCTATATTAGGGTGTGGAGTTTATTTTTTTCTAATTTATATGGGACCCTTGAGGTGTAATTAATAAAAAAAGAATCAATTAAATCAAAAACTATACATGTCAAATGTACGAGTAGAATACTCTTTTTTGCAATCGATTAATAAAGATTAAAATAATAAATAGAATCAGGCGTTACTTTGCGGAAATGCATTATATTAAATTTGGAAATAATTATCTTTCGTAAACCCGCTCGATGAAATATAATTTAAAATTCGAAATTTTGTACAAACGAATTCAATATATATTATTAAGGATAACTCAAAAATGATTGGTCAGACCTTGATCAAATTTATATGGGACTACATGAGAAGCACCAGCTTTCAAATAAAAAAAGAATCATTGAAAGCGGTTTACGTGGAACAAAGTTATAAGGTAAAAACACATAAAAACACATAAAAAACATATAGTCGAATTGAGTACCTCCTTCTTTTAGAAGTCGGTAGAAAATGATTGTCTTACCTAGTTTAAAGAGCACCTCCCGTCCTCCCTCAATTGCGTGCACTACTCTCGTGTGGAGGCGAAACACGTGTCGTATTGTCGTCAGTGGTGTATCTTTTCTAGTGTAGTGGTGTTGGGATTAGTGGTGACGGGGAATAGTGCACGCAATTGAGGGAGGGCGGGAGGTGCTCTTCAAACTAGGTAAGACACATTTTATTTTATCGAGCGGATTTACGCAAGGTAATTTTTATCAACTTTAAAGTTTAAAATATGAAAATAAAATCTTATTTCTGATAAAATTTATCGCCATTATATAATTTTATAGCTTTGTTCCTAATTTTTTAGTTACGTTCGTAATTGTGATTGCAATTTTCCCGCAAACTTTTGCAGTAAAGTTGTCAAGCCTATGATGTGTATTATAGTGTTCGTATCAACTACGTCGACTGCGCCATTGTGCGGTGTAGTTGGACGAGTGTCAGTGTGTGTATCGGTGTATCGGTGTGTCGGTGTGTATGCACGCATGTTACATGCATGTGTAACGCACGCGTGTGTAACGCACCTGTTGCTGCGGGTCGATGGCGAGCGGGCGGCGCGCGGCGCGGCACACGAGCGCGGCGTTCTGCGCGGAGGCGGCGTCGCGCGGCAGCCCCTGCGCCTGCCACGCGCGAGCGGCCGCCGCGCCCGCCGCCACCGACACCAGCCTGCGCCCGACACGCACACACGCGTTACAAATCACCAAAAACTTCTATCATACCAGCGTAAAATAGCATCTCAACGCTGCTGTGTTTCGTATGGTGAGCGTAGAGAACCGGAAACCCTTTTCACTGGAAATGAGGCATTCCATTTTAGTCCTTACGGGTGACAAAGCATCTGCATTTTGATTTGTAATAAAGGATAGATGTAGATGTCTATGGGCCGCTGCAACCACTTAACATCAGGTGGACTGTGTGCTCGTTTGTCACCCTTATCCTATAATAAAAAATAACTTCTATGTATACTTCTAGACGCACACTGCGCTACCTACTCGTACTATTACATGGAAGAACGCTGTCGTGTCGATAAAAGCACATATTATTCATGTTAAAAACTTCTATGCATACTACTAGACGGATACTACGGCACCCACTAATACATTGCGCACTAAATTATTACGCCAATTCTCCATAACTCTCGTAGGTTTAGTCGACTGCTAACAGGTGAAGAGACCTTTGTCTTACAAACTGCGAACGTTGTTTTTGACAAATTGATTTTGTTTAATATTAATAAAAAAACGTTGTGATTATTTATGAGCGCACTTTGTCAACGTAATTTGAAATTCAATTCAGATAACCGTGTAATTTTATTACGTGTTTGCCTAAAACATTAACTACCGTAAATGAAAATACAAATGCGTGACGTATTTATCGTGCCAACTACCCGACCGCGCGGTTTGATCCTGTGACACAGGTTTTAGTAGTGTTACATATAAGTCTTTGCATATTATTGATACGATACCATATTACACAAAGTCACTCTTATTTTATTCAAAATCATTAAACTATTTTCATATACTAACACACTATGCTCCTGTTGGAGAATATTACGTAAGTAACGCTATGGTTGGCTAGATTAATGAATAAAGCAGGATAATCCCAGTTGTGTTTCGAACAGAGATTTCAAAACCGATTCATTCTACTTGACCGCATCCAGCATAGAGCGGTTCGAATCGTCGACGACCGTGTCCTTTCCGATCAGCTTGATTCATTGGCACTGCGAAGAAATGTTGCACCCCTTTGCATTTTCTTACGCATCTACCACGGGGAATGCTCTGAGGAATTGTTCGGATTAATCGCAGTCGCCAAATTTCACGAACGCACATCGCGGCAGAACTCCTGATACCATCCACACCATCTGGATGATTGGCGGTCCACCACTGTGCGATTTAGAAGATGTTTTCTTCCTCGTATAACTTCCTTGTGGAATCGATTACCATCAGAGATTTTTCCGCACCGATACGACTTAGGGACCTTCAAGAAAAGAGCCTACTCCTTTTTAAAAGGCCGGCAACGCACCTGCAATTCCTCTGGTGTTGCAGTTGTTCATGGGCAGCGGTAGTCACTTACCATCAGGTGAGCCGCATGCTCATTTGCCCGCTCTCCTATAAAAAAACATGTGTACATCTATCCTCAATATGCAGATGCGTTGGCACCCATGAGGACTAAAATGGAATGCTTCTTTTCCATAGTAAAAAGGGTTTCCGGTTCTCTACACTCACCATACGAACACACAGCAGCATTAAGCTGCTATTTTACATTGGTATTCTGTGAGAGAGTGGTCCTTTCCCGGTCGAGCCGACCCATTCGTGCCACAACTATACTACTAATATAGCTGCAGCATGGCTCTGCCACGTATAAAACGTGTTGTGTGTGAAGGTAATATTGCAAGTGTAGTGCAAGTATAACGGCGGTGTACTCACTCGAAGTGTTCGGAGGCGGGGATGCGCAGCTGCGCGCAGTGTTGCACCCACTTGTGCTGCAACTCGCTGCGATAGTGCGCGGGGAACGCGCCAAAGTACGCCACGCAGCCGGCCGCCACCAGCACGTCGCCCGTCGCGCACTCCAGCTGCACCGACGCCTCCTGCACCGCGCACGCGTCGCCACTCATTAGCCCATGTCCGAATTATTCGTCTTCCACTCATCTAGACCCTACAAGTCCACTATTGGACATGCAGCTTCAAACTGTTCCGTTTTAGAAATGATTTGCCTTAATAAGCGTCACGCAACTTTCATGTCGCTAAGCTCTAAGTATATTAGAATAAAATTTCCATTTGTTCCATCCGTTAGATGAACAGAGTGAAAATGTCTCGAAAAGGTTGATATTATAGGAAAATGAGTAGGTATGTATGTCCCTTTGGGTCCAAGACCGGTGACATATCCTGTCATCTCCTTAACGCACGTCTCTCATGGATTTTACCGCGATATGTACGTCATGTCTAAAGAAACAGCAGTATACGTTTATTTATTAGCAGTAAACTGTTTACGGGTAAATCAAAAATTAATGTCAAAATTGAAGATAAAGTCTTTAATAGAAGACAGTGTACATATATGTTTGAATTTTATGATTGATATGTAACAAAACAGAGCAATTTGATTAGCCACAAATAAATAATCTAGTTGCAAATCGCGTGTTAGTAAGCTCTGCTATCACGTCGTCCGGCGACAATTCCACTGTGGCGTATATGTAATGAGAGGTCGTGGTGTGTTGTTGATGTGACGGTGATGGTGGTGCTGACCTGCACGCTGGTCTCCCAGCGCGCCTGCTCGTCGGCGAGCGCCTGCGTGAGGCTGGCGGCGCGCGCGAGCCTTGCAGCTGCTAGCTGAACGTCCGCTTGTAGTCGGTCGCGTTCAGCTTCCACTGTCTGAAACCAAGAATAGAATAGATTAGAATTTTATTATATCGGATTATATGAATAATAAGGAATAATAGATTACAAGAACGCTTTCCATTATCCAACCATCCATTCCAGCCAATAAAGGTCCACTGCTGAACATAGGCCTCCCCCATAGATTGCGCGGCCTGCCCCATAGAGAGGGTTGACAATGGCAGTTTTTTTATTTTTAGTCATTATTAGGAACACGCTGCTTTCCATCTCCTGACTTGTTTCCTTATCTCCTCTTACGACACCCACGGGATGACAAGAACAGTTGTTGAGAGCCAGTTAAGTTTCACCACTCATTTAAAAAAAAAAGCTCTGCCCTGCGAAGAACCAGAAAGAAATCCAGTGGGACTTTTTTGATGTGTTCCCGCAATCTGTAAGTGTAGTTAGTGAAAAGGGACGGAAGTGTATAACAGGAAGCCGGGAAAGTGCACGCTAATTGATTTGACCAATGAGCGCGCGCGATGCTAGTAAAGTGTTCTGTTATATAAACCAATTTATATGTGTAAACTATATTAATAAATGTATTTACTGTTGATAATAAGTGTCTGAAAAAAAAAGCAGATCGTTGATAACAATTCAAGTGAATAATTATTCGAAGAAATATTTTAGTATTAGCTTTTGTAAATTTTGTGGTTAATTTCTGTCGCTGCTCAATTCATGTTTTTAATTTTGATTAAAAAAAAATAATGTCAATGTTGCTTATTACCAAAGTGAAATGTTATATGTTACATATCATATGCGACTACTGTAAGACTCGCTCGTTTTTTTTTTAAATATTATAATACGAGTAACATTTTATACAACTAAGTATGAACACATTTAGAAACGGTATTGTAGCGATCACCCCACTGCCAGGAGTTATTATCTATCATGTACTCTTTAGTAGTAGAAAAACCCTTATTATAAAATTATTGCTTAATAAAATTTCTAAACTTTTTGATAGATAGATACTATATATTGCGCACACCTGTCTTATCATCTCCGACAACTGGACAATGCTTGACCTACTGCCATACTACCTATCTGTACCTTATAAATCGGAACGCAAAGGCACTTATTAAAGTAATATCACAGAGTAAATAATTGTACTAAGTAGTAATATGTAGTATATACTACACTACTAGAACAGGCACTTCGGACAAAATCTGTAGTTGTCTAAAATAGCCGTCGTAAATAGTCGTAGTACATATTACTTCAATGGATGCACTTCGGTTTGAGGACTCAAGGAATTAGATATGTCCTTGTAAAGAAGCGGTAGTACTTCACATCCAGCCAGGTGTATCACTGCCGTTGTGTGCTGATGGTGGTCTCTGTGTAGTCGTAAGATACTTCACCAGCCCATATCATCACGTGGCTGTCTTAAGAGGTTGTACGGGCCACAGTTTGCGACTCGTACACATTCTTTGATAGTTAATTTAGTTGATATATAGTTATGCCCTTTAAAGTTAGTTTGACACGGTGGTACGTCAGTTTGAGTGGCGTATAAAGTAAGCACACGTGAAGTTACTTTAATATTTTATTATACACCTTAAGTTTGATATGTGAAACGGTGCATTATAAAAATAATTCGCGACGCGGCGCTCCTCACGCAGAACACAATACTTGTAGGCTTATTGGTAGATAACCTTTATCTGGTCAAAACCAAACTTGGTCGTCTTAAGCACAGGCACAAAATAGCCAGTCTCTCGATGTTCCACAAGATACCGATACTGCATTATAGAATATACATATTCCGAAATGAATTCACAGATTATAGTTGTAGCATGAATAGGTCAGCTCGACCGGGGTAGCACATAATACCAGCTTAATGCTGCTGTAGAAAACCGGAGACCCTTTTGACTGGAAACAAAACGTTTCATCTTAATTTTCAAGGTTGTGTGGTTGGGTGTGTTAGGGTGGGTTTATCCCAAGTGGTAAAATTGAAAATTATGTACAACCGACTTCAATATAAATTACTAAGTATAACTCCATAACTATTGGTCAGACCTTGATCAAATATTGAACCACATTACCACATGGAAAGGACTCGGTTCACCTAGAAAAAGTTATGAGGTAACACATAAAAAACATAGTCGAAATGAGTACCACCTCCTTTTTGAAGTCGGTAGAAAAAAATCAGCGAAATAACAAGTTATAAATAACAGAAATGTATGCGTCTCACCCGCAACTCCTCAATCATGGCGGCGAGCTGCGCCTCGATGGCCTCCACTTGTTTCTGCTTGCCGCGCAGCTCCGCCATCACGCTCTTCAGCACGGCTGCTGCCTCTTTGTGTCTAGAGCACACAAACGCAACACCACCTTACATCACATCACTATCCAACCTTGCACTCAGTGTCGGACAACAACGGCACAGACGTGTGCGAAGGAACCAAGACATGTCGTTCATTAAATACAAAAGGGTCACAAATAAAAAACAAATCAAAATCGTTTTATTGCAAAAATATCACCTAGGTCGACGATATTTTATCGTGCATAAAATATATCTATTATTTTAGCTTCAATTACAACGGCTGGTACTGGCCTGACGTGATAGGGTCGCTTTTTTATTTTTTTGTTTTCAAACAAACATCCAGACCAGTAACAATTACTTGTAAGCCATACAAATAGTTGTTCAGTGCGGGATTCGAACCCGCAGCGCAACAACTCATTGCTAAGCCACTGCGCCACGGAGTTGTTGATGGTGGACGACAATCTGAAGTCACGCCGGCTAATGGAGTAGCAGGTCTCAGAACTGACTTCTTCACGTCACGGAGATGAGGCTGTTGCCAAGTGCTCCAGTATCCTAATGCAATATATGCGCCTTCTCAATCTCGTCGGTGACACCCGCTTGTGGGAGGCCGACTCGACCGATTCGCTATTGCACTTCAGACACAGAAACACAAAGGCAAAACATGCTTATCGTGATTGATGGAGTGATGATTACCAATCACTGCTGTTAGTGATGATGTATGCTGTAGCAGCAACTTGTTCACAGCGCGATTGCTTGAAAAATCATGTGTAGAGTTTTCGCTGAATAGGCGGTAATACACGAGCAGCACTAAGCGGGCGAAACGAAGACACGTTGTCGAACCCCGTGGTCCCTCTTAGATCTTAGCACTAGATCAGTGCTCGAAGGACCATTAAGATGTACAAGCTGCTGTGCTGTACAATTTTACAAGTTGATAAAAATGATAAAGACTTGAACTGATTATGTAATTTATTGTGATATTATTGATAGTGAGTACAATGAGCGACGGCGAATAATTGCGTAAATTAAATGAAAAATGAAACAATAAGGTAAAAATGCTGATGTGTAGAAATGTGCGTTTTGTAAAGATCGTACAATTATTATAAACAAGAGTGCCACATTGTAGGGATTTATTTTTTTAAAAGATGCGGGTGAATAACGAGCACACAGTCCATAAATGGATGCTGAAATCTACATTTAGCTTAGATTAAGAATCAAAATGCAGATGCGTTGTCATCCGCGTGGACTGAGATGGAATGCCTCGTTTCCAGTAGAAAGGGTCTCCGGTTCTCTCCAACGGAATTACTGTTTTACTTAAAAAAATAAGTTAATTAAGTCATACTTTATTATGTTTCAATATCCTATTTTGAAATGCTTCTATTTTGTATAGAACTAGGTATAGAACTTGTATATTGTATGAGTGAACTGTTATTTATTTAATTGCTGTTTTAGAATGATGTGACTGTTTTAAATGTATTTTATTCATGAGAGATGTATTATTTTATTTTTATACAAAATTGCCGTGCATATTTCGTTTTACTTCCGTTTTGTATTTAAATTGTTTGTGATTTTCGTATTATTTTTTTGTTCTATTTCATTGGTAATAATAATTTTTTTAAACCTCTTATTTTTAAATTTTATTCACTTAAATGTTTATGAGACTGACATTTCACCCCAACTTAGAGCTTCTGATGACATCATGACGCTCTAGCCTCAGCTATCGTAATATCCTCATACGGTCATCAAAAATCCAAGAATTCATGTGTTAAATTTTGTTTAGTTCTTTCTGTAAAAAATGCAGTTTGTGATTTGTGTGCTTTTTGTATTTTAATGAGCGATTTATGCAAAATAGAAAATTGTCGGCGTTTCGTATTGATTGGATTTTCACCATCCCCGCGTCTCTAGCTCTCCTCTCTAAATTATCGCATGCGCTCTCCTTTAAGCATCTGGGCGTGTGGATTGAGCGCGGCCGGGTTTACGCATGCACTTTTTGCGACACTGTAATATCTCCAGTGCAGGTCATTGCCTATCATTATTCACAAGTAGTCGCCGTTGACGAAAGTTATGTAACTACGTCTTGTTTGCTTCCACAGTGGATAGTTCTTAGGTAGTTCCAATTCAGAAAACGGATGATAATAAAATAAGGGGAGATAGTTTGATGTTGTAGCTACATATCTATCATCTACACACAATAATTAATTACTCGATAGCTAAAGTATCAAAGAATTTGCTACGTTGGGTGAGCATTGTGTCGGCGAGCGCCGCCATTTTGATGTCATTTCGTCGCGTCACATAATCTTCGTCTAGTGTAAATTTTGACGTAATGTACACGTATTCACGTAATAAACACGGCCGTGTTCATGACACAGCCACAACCCAATTTTATTCAAATTTTTTTTCTTCAATTTTTTTCTTCTTCATCAAACTATAAAAGTCCACGTCTAACTCTGGTGTTGCAGAGCTGATACGCCTTAATCGCCACGCTTGTCAGGAGGGTTGAGGAATGCAGTAACAAAGGATTTGCACCTTGCACAACTGAGTACATTGCGTCTGGTATTAGGTCAGAAGCCAATTGATATCTTTCTATTTCCGAAATGACAAGCAAAAAAAGCTTTAACATTGGAGTGTTGTATTTCTCAGCGTTGTCATTGACAGAGAATCATAGGTTAAACGATGGAGCCATCTTTTTTAATTAAGAAGAAAAAGAAGTAACAGTGACTACATTGCCGTGTTCCGGTCAGTAGGTTATAGTGAGCCAGTATAATTACAATGGTGTAAGGCTGTAAGGCGTTCCGTCTTAGTCCTCAGGGTTGAGAACGCACGTGTAGCCTTCTCTGTATGAAATTGGCTGCAGGTGTCCGTGGACAGCAATAGGCACTTCTAAACGATGAATTCGCAATCACAATTATATTTGAAATACTACGCTACTTTCTGAACACTACTTATATAATATAATAATCGTATACTCGCTCCTATATTTATATCATTAATGGAAAAATAAAGCTATTGAGAATAGAATAGAAAAGAATAAATTTTAATTCTTATTTAAAGTCATTTTTTACTTTACCACTGGTTCGAAAAAAAACCTCTGTCCTGGGAAGAACCAGCAAGAAACCCAGCGGGACTTTTTTTTAAAGCAAATTTTACAATAGTGGTTGTACAAACTATATAAGTACAAAATTTATTTTAGAAACAGCTTGGAAGCGATCACCTCATTCCCAGGGGTTATTATCAACCATGTATTCATTTATACTATAATAACCCTTTTTATACAGTTTCAACTTAAAAAAACATTTAAACTTGCTAATAGAGAGAGCCTGTACACTTTCCGGGACCTTGTTGTAATAGCGTATACATTGCCCCAAGAATGAATTACTGACTCTGTGGAGTCGAGAAACTGGCATCACTAGCTTGTGTTTGTTCCTAGTGTTTACAAAATGCACATCACTTTTTTTACTAAAAATTACTTTTGTTTTTGTGAACATACATTAAATTTTCGTAGATAGAGGGTGAGTAGCCTTACAGATGTTACCATACTTCATTAATAGTTGTACAATATGTTTTTAAAAGTCAAAGTAAATAGGAATATACTATATATATTCAGAGCAATGAAACGACACGAGTACACTCACTTGATGATTTTGGGCTCCACGACTCTAAACACCTTGGCGTACATGTCGATGGCCTGCACCCACAGCACCATGGAGCGGCACACCTGCCATCAACAGGTGACATTATATTCACTACTGACCCATAGTGTGAACAAACGAATATACTTGAACGGAACACCTTAAAATGATATATGATATAAGATTAGTCATTATCCAAAGTTGCATGTAGGCTAATACAATTATTACAAAAAAACAAACTTTAATAATCATCATCGGATCTAGTTGACATTTTCAGGCCACGGAACAATAATTTTTATAAACCTATGGGTAAATAAATACGCCTGCAACTTTACAAGGCGCAGGTTCGGCCTCACATGGAATACTGTTCCCATCTCTGGGCTGGGGCTCCCCAGTGCCAGCTCCTTCTACTTGACCGCATCCAGCGCAGAGCGGCTCGAATCGTCGACGACCGAGTCCTTTCCGATCGGCTCGACTCATTGGCGCTGCGAAGAGTCATGTTGCATCTCTTTGCATTTTCTTTCGCATTTACCACGGGGAGTGCTCTGAGGAATTGTTCGGATTAATCCCACCTGCCAAATTTCACGCACGCACATCGCGGCAGAACTCCCGACACCATTTGAATGATTGGCGGTCCACCACTGTGCGATTTAGAAGATGTTTTCTTCCTCGCCCAACTTCCTTGTGGAATAGTTTACCACCAGCGATTTTTCCGGACCTATACGACTTAGGGACCTTCAAGAAAAAAGCCTACTCCTTTTGAAAAGGCCGGCAACGCTTCTGCAATTCCCCTGATGTTGCGGTTGTTCATGGGCGGCGGTAGTCACTTACCATCAGGTGAGCCGCATGCTCGTTTGCCCCCTCTCCTATGAAAAAAAATGTAAAAAGTAAAAATTTTGTGCAACCAACTTCAATATAAATTATTAAGGATAACTCAAAAACTATTTGACAGACCTTGATCAAGTTTTATGGATCCACATGAGAAGCACTAGCTTACAAAGGAAAAATAATCATCGAAATCTGTTCACCTAGAAAAAAGTTATGCAGTAACACACACAAAAAAAGAACATACAGTCGAATTGAGTATCTTCTCCTTTTTGAAGTCGGTAGAAAAAAGTAGCTGAATAGGTAAACTTATATTTGAGATAACGTTCAGTTGATAATTAAAGTCCAATAACTAACTTAACGAAAAAATATTTTTACAATATTTAATAATAATAATATCTTTCAGAACGATTTTTGTCACGGTGATCCGTGTCCACACAGGGACTAGCATCTGTACAGGACAGAATTATAGTGCGCAAATGTATGCGCAAGCACAGGTGCACTCTCTATTCCCTCACTCTCATAGTACAATGGGATGGTAAGCCGACACGACCGACGAGAGATTAGGCGCAGGACTAACGGCTTTACGTACTTTTCTAGGCACGGGGCTGAAACACCTCCCTGACAGAAAAACTAATAATTGATTTTAGCCCGACACGGGATTCGAACGCGGGACCTCATGATCAGCATTATTCAACATTATTTAATAGTTTTTGTAGTCGGGCGGCTTTAATACGGCTCCGTGGCAGAGTGGTTTAGCAGTGAGTTGCTGCGCTGCGGGGCGCGGAATCGTATCCCACACGGAACAAGTATTTGTATGGCCTACAAATAATTGTTCCGGGTCTGGATGTTTGTCCTTGTGCAATTTGTGTTTGTAAACTGCCTCCACGATACAGGAGAAAATCCTAGTGTGGGGGTAACGTTTTTACTCATACTTAATACTTAGATGCACTCTGCTTAGTACCGACTTCGGAAGCCATTAAATTACTTTATTCTTTTTATGTTCTTAAATCTAGTTTTTTAGTTTATATGACCCTTAATAGTGGAATAAGCAATATTACAAGCTCGAGGTAACAACTAGAATGTCGCTTAGTTACTATTACGGATCGCCGTAATGCCGTGCGAAAAATGGAATAAAACGCGCTGGTCTTGCTTTTAACTGGAGGCAAGCGGCGGTGAGGAGGAACTTGTACTTTTTCTTTTCTTGCTGGTGCCTTTTCGGTGGCTGGAGAGCGACTGCTGACCCTAGCGGCCGGCCCGTCTTTTATATGATTTGGCCGCTGCTGGCCAGCGGACCCTTGCCTCACCCCCGCGCCTATCTTTATTTATTTAATAACCTTACAAACTAATAAACATAATTCACTATATAATATTCTTATAACTACTTGTTAGACTAGGGTGTACATATCAATATTTTTACTTATTTACAGGTTTACATTATAATTTTCAGCTGCTTTAGGCGGAGAATCCTTCCCCCCGCCTCAGCACTATAAATATAAAACGTCGTGGCGCGGTGCGCGTGGCTTCATTTGCTCCGCGGCCGCGTCACGATAACATGCTCTTTGGTTACACTACTACTATTATTTTATGTGCCTAACGGCCTAATATATTTATTATATAATAAAGTAAACATTTATTATATTTAACAATTACAGTTTTCATTAGAAGACTATGCTAACTCTCCCTGTTCATACGGTGCCTTTATTTGGGAGAGTTATTGCACAGTTACAACTCAACCTTAAACTTAGTTATAATACAATCATTATTTTTTATCGTTCGATACAAGTAATACAATTATTTACACAAATTATAATTTAAATTCAACATAAGGTTGCGCTAGTCCCGCCGTATAACCCTTGCTAGTTGTCGAACCAGAGGCGTGGCCTGATAATTACACCGTCGTCATGGCTCCGCCCACCGCTCCTAGGTTGTTCAACTAGCGCCGGTTACAATAAGCATTTTCTTTCGTTTGTTTAATATTGTTGCGTCGTGCACATTCTCCCGCCGTCGCCACGCTGCGATCCCTCTGGTAGCACGACGATCTTCTTCGTTGGTCTTCTTAGTATGTGCCCACTGCCGGTGGTTACGTCCACTACTCGTACCTCTCCGTCGACGCCAGGATATACCTTACTTATTTTCCCTCTGGGCCAGGTGTTGCGTGGTAGATTGGAGTCACAAATGATGACTAGGTCTCCAATCTTCGGCGATACTCCTATGCTGCTGGGCTCCCGCCGGTGTTGGAGTAGGGGCAGGTATTCTTTAACCCATCTTCTCCAAAACACGTCGGCTAGGGCTTGAGCTCGTTTCCATTGCTGGCGGGCCGTCACGTCATTCTTGCTGAAGTGTCCCGGCGCAGGTACGTGCGAGTTGGGACCGATGAGGATGTGATTCGGCGTGATGGCTTCAGGGTCTCCTGGGTCGACTGAGACGTGTGTGAGAGGTCTGGAGTTTACAGTATTTTCGACCTCGGCGAGCAGGGTCCCCAATGTTTCGTCGCTGGGATAGCGCTCGTTGAGGGTGACGCGTAGGGCTTCTTTTACGGAGCGAACCATTCGCTCCCATACGCCGCCCATGAACGGTGCTGATGGCGGTATGTACTTCCACACAATCTGTTGACACGTGGTTTCGTGCTCGAGGGCTGCGAGTGCTGCTTCGGCCATCTCCTTGTCTGCTGCCTTGAAGCACGTAGCGTTGTCACTCCATATTTCTTTTGGGCATCCTCTTCTGCTCATAAAACGCCTAAGTGCCGACACGGCTGAGTCTGCGCTCAACGAGTGGGCTACTTCTATGTGTATTGCTCGCGACGTCATGCAGGTAAATAACGCGCCATAGCGCTTTTCGCGATGTCGTCCCACTGTGACTTCTATTGGCCCGAAGTAGTCTAGTCCGGTGTATGTGAACGGACGTGCGTGATGAGCGAGGCGTGCGGACGGCAGGTTTCCTGTAGACGGTGATGCAGGCTTGGCTTTTCTTAGACGGCACGGCAGGCATCCTTTGACGACAGTTTTCACTACTGGACGTATTTTTCTTACGTACAATCTCTGTCTTAATTCATTCACAACTGTTTCTACGCCTCCGTGATGCAGCATCTCGTGTACGTGTGCTATGTACAGGCGAGTGTATGCGTGCTTCCCGTCTAATATGGGAGGGTCGTACATGTCGTCCTCCACTTCTGATGCCGCTTTTATTCGACCTCTGAGGCGTAGGGTCCCCTCTTCATCAATGTATGTGCTCAGGTGGCCTAGTTTGTCGTCGCCTCCCGGAACACTTCCGCTGGTGATTCTCTTGAGCTCCTTCGTGAAGCTTTCCCGCTGACTGGCTTGCACCCACAGTTGTTCGGCTCTCATATGATAAGCGGCCGGTATTCCTACAAGCGATGAGGCAGTAGGAGTCGCCTTTTTCTCCTTGGCGGGGGTGTTGCGTTTGTTTGTTCTCTGCCAGCCAGGGTCGCTACCTTGTCTTGCTTTGTTGCGTTTACGCCCAGCCTTCACTACGTGCTTGTTTGGTCTGCACATGTCGATGAATAGGAGGACTCTCGCTGTCGCCCTTATGAGCCGAATCCATTTAGAAAATCTTCCTATCTGTGGAAGATGTGTTGTTGTCGAGTCTTCACTTTTAACAGCGATGTTACATATTTCTCGCTCTTCCCCGGTGTCATATTGTGTCGTTTTCTCTTCCTGCGGCCATTCTGCCGGTGGACGCTGCAGAAACGGGGGCCCTCGGAACCATCGGTGCGACTCGTCGAACCCTTCTGGTGTGGCTCGGGTTGCGTCGTCTGCCACGTTTTCTTTAGACGGTAGCCAACGCCATTCGTTCTTTTTGGTCGTATCTTCTATCTCCGCCAGGCGATGAGCGACGAAAGCTTTGTACGCGCGAGGCTCCGATCTTATCCACACCAGTGCAGTACGGGAGTCGCACCAGTATGTCTTGCCTGCTATGTCGCCATCGTGTTCATCGATCACGGTCTGCGCAAGACGAGCTCCCAGCAGTGCCGCTTGTAACTCGAGCCGTGGTATGGAAACTGGTTTCAGTGGTGTTACGCGGCTCTTGGCGGCGGCCAATGATATGTTAACGCTGCCGTCTGCTCGCTCCGTTCTCCAATACACTGCTGCTGCGTAGGCCTCCTCGCTTGCGTCGACGAATGTGTGTAGTTGGCGCGTCGACACCGGGTTGTAATCGTAGCATCGCGGTATTCTTAGTTGTTCTATGGCGTTAAGTGAAGTAATCCAGCCTTCCCATTTTTCTTTTAATTCTGTTGGCAGAGGGTCGTCCCAGTCCGCCTTGTAACGCCATGTGTCTTGAAATATTCTCTTCGCTGGGGTGGTCACCGGTGATATTAACCCCAGCGGATCAAATAATGCCATTATGACGCTCAACGCTTCTCGTTTAGTTGGCAAGCGTTGTTTTTCTTTTACGTCGGCAGGCATCTTCATATTGTTAGTATTGAATCCAATATGATCGCTTTGTACATGCCAGAGCAGCCCTAGCGTCTTCTCAGTTTCTTTTCCGCCCAGGCACACGGTCGCGTCGTGTTGTCTATGCTCTGTCGTTATTTCTTCTATTGTTTTTTCTTCGTTCGATGTCCACCCGCTGAGTACGAATCCCGCTTGTTTGTGGACGTGATCGACTGCTTTTACTGTTTGCTGAGCTTCCGTGACAGAGTGGAAGCTCTGCAAGTAGTCGTCCATATAATGGTTTCTTTTTATGGCGACCGCAGCTTCTGGGTACGCTTCTGCATGTTCTTCAGCATTTTTATTTTTTATGTATAATGCTGTGCATGGTGATGATGTCGCTCCAAAGATGATTGACGTCATCCTATATTCCTCCGGTTGGTCCTCCCGCCGCTTGCCTCTCCACAAGAAACGTAAAACGTCTCTATCTTCTTTGCGCACTTTAATCTGCATGAACATTTCTTTTATATCGGCGCTCACTGCATACGGATACTGTCGGAACCTCATGATCACTCCGGGCAGTGATTGTAATAAGTCGGGCCCCGAGTGAAGCATATCGTTGAGACATATTCCGGCTGTCTTCGCTGCGGCGTCGTGTACCAATCTCGGCGGCTTGTTCGGTTTCGCAGGGTTGATGACTGGGAAGTGTGGCAGATACCATGTCCTTCCTTGCGGCGGTGGCATTGGCGCGCGCTCTGCGTAACCCGAGTTGAAGAGGTTCTCGATGCGTTCTTCGTACTGTAGCTTGAGATTGCTGTCTCGGTCGAGCCTCTTCTCTAAGGTGTGCAGGCGCCTTTCCGCTTCTTTATAATTATTTGGTATTTGGAAGTCCTTTTGTTTCCACAACAACCCTGTCTCGAATCTGCCGTCCGCTGACCTCTGGCTGGTTTCGTCCAATATTTGCATGGCTCGCTGCTCGGGATCTTCTTTCGGTCTTCTCGGCTCGATGCACAGCGACTCCAATTTGAAATAATTTTTTATTTCTTCTTCTATCGGTGGTGCATCTTCCCTCTGATGTAGTCTGCCGCAGAAGGTGACCGTCGACGTCAATGAGCTATGACAGCCATGCAGAACCCAGCCCAGGTTGGTGTATGAGGCGACTGGTTGGTCTCGACGGCCGACGCGCAGTTTTCTAGACACTATGAGGTGCCAGTTATCTTGCCCGATTAGTACTTTCGGTGAGGCGCGTTCGTAGGTGATATCCTCTTTGATATCCAACAGATGTAGGCAATTCCCCAAGTGATCTTCATTCACGGATTCTGGCGCGAAGTCCAACCGCTCTACAGTACGCGCTGCTTCTATGTTGTGTTCTTCTTGCGCGTACGTTCCTCTTATTTTAAAGCTGACGATCTTGCTCTTCTCGTGTTTCACCTCCGAGCCGACCCCTTGTATCCACATTGTGTGGGCTGGGCCGTCGGCGCCGATGACGTCGGCGATTGAGGCATCGACTAAGGTGACCGTGCTCCCTTCATCCAATAATGCGTATGTTTCGACGCAGCTTAGCGGCCCCCTTATTGTTACGGGCGCAATCTTTAGGTAAGCGCGGCGGTGCTTGTACGGTCGAGTCGCTGTGTTGACCTCCTTTGCCGATGTTGCGGTTTCCATAGCGGGTTCTTTTTCCATTACTGCTGTTCTGTCGTGATGCAACAATTTATGGTGTTTCATCATGCATCCGCCTTTTCCGCACGGTGGAGCTTTGCACAGTAATCGACGATGTTTGCCTCGCAGACAGCGGTAGCAGATATTGTACTTCTTTGCTACTTCCCATCTGTCATTTGTGGACAGAGCGGCGTATGACTTGCAATCGGGCAGTTTGTGTTCTTGTTTGCATTGAGGGCAGCGTTCTTCATATGGTTTCTTGCTTGTGGCGAAGGCACGTTCTATTTTTCTCGGTCTTCGCTCTCTCGTTTCGCTGTCCTCTGCGATGAACTCCGGCAAGGCATACGCGCTGCATTTATCCGCTTCTTCGTTTAAGAACATTGATATCTTCTTAAGCTCTGGGATATCTTCTTTCTTTCTGGCTGCATAGTCGTACCATTTGCTTTTCAATATGGGCGTGAGTTTGTCTGTGATAACTCGCGTCATTTCTGGACTATGCAGATAGTGTGCTTTCTTGAGTGCTTCCACGGTGCCCACTACGTTCGCTATGCGATTTGCGAATATGCATAGCTCCCTGGGATTGTCCGTAACTTTGTTCAGCAGCTTCAGCTTCTCTATTTCCAAGTGAATTAACGCTTCTGGTCGTCCGAATCTCCTTTCCAAAGCTTCTATTATAATTCTGGGATCTGGTTGGCTTATAAGTAGGCAACCTGCGGCTTCTTTTGCTGTCCCTTTTAAGCTTCGGCGTATTCTCGCTATGTTTTCGTTCGCCGTGAAGTACTTTGAAGATTCTTCGTACATTGTCTTGAAGCTGAGCCACTCCTTGCTGCTACCATTGAATGAGGGCAGCTCTTGTATATATTTCGGCGGCTCCCTTGTGCTTCGTACTGCTTGTGATAGAGCAGCGGCTAAGGTAGCGACGTCGATTTGCTGCTGCGCCTGTCCATAGTCTTCTTTCTGCGGCGCGGTATGTTGCGGAGCGTATTGCGGCGCACACTGTTGAAGTACGGGTGGTGCGATCTGCAGTGCTGGTTGCGGCGCGAAGTACGACGTGGGTTGCGGCGCGGGTTGTGGCGCGGGTTGTGGCGCGGGCTGAGGCGTAGGTTTTCCTTGCAACCATGTACTAATGCGCACTGATGCCAAATCGTCTTCTATTTCTTCATCTTCATCGGTTGATCCGGCTTCTGCTTGTAGTCGCTGCACGTGTATTTCTTGCAATTCTGTTCTTGCTTGCAACTGAGCCTGCTCGAGCTTGAGTTCGGCTAACCGCTCTTTCGCCTCTAACTCCGCGAGGAGTCTCTTGCGTGAGGCTACGGAGCGGCGTGACCTAGTCTCGCCGGGCTTCAATGTGCACTGCGATCTTTGATCACCCTCTTGCTGGGTTTCTTCCGTTGCGGTTGTTCTATCGGTTGCCGAGGTAGCGGTCGTATCGCTGACCGTTGTGGTTTCGCTAGTGGTGTTTGTTGAACCACTAGCGGCTGAGTCGCCCCCGGAGGCCTCTTCTGTGGCCCCCTGGGTTGTTTGTTCATCCTTGCGACGCTTCGATGATTCTCCGTTGTTACTACGCGTAATCACCATTTTTCTTCACAATAATATTTTTTCGTTCTTGCGGTTTGCTTCTTTCTTCCGGCAATACCAAGACCGATATTGTCTTTTTCTTCTAGTAATCCGGCTTCTCGAAGGACCATTAATATTACGGATCGCCGTAATGCCGTGCGAAAAATGGAATAAAACGCGCTGGTCTTGCTTTTAACTGGAGGCAAGCGGCGGTGAGGAGGAACTTGTACTTTTTCTTTTCTTGCTGGTGCCTTTTCGGTGGCTGGAGAGCGACTGCTGACCCTAGCGGCCGGCCCGTCTTTTATATGATTTGGCCGCTGCTGGCCAGCGGACCCTTGCCTCACCCCCGCGCCTATCTTTATTTATTTAATAACCTTACAAACTAATAAACATAATTCACTATATAATATTCTTATAACTACTTGTTAGACTAGGGTGTACATATCAATATTTTTACTTATTTACAGGTTTACATTATAATTTTCAGCTGCTTTAGGCGGAGAATCCTTCCCCCCGCCTCAGCACTATAAATATAAAACGTCGTGGCGCGGTGCGCGTGGCTTCATTTGCTCCGCGGCCGCGTCACGATAACATGCTCTTTGGTTACACTACTACTATTATTTTATGTGCCTAACGGCCTAATATATTTATTATATAATAAAGTAAACATTTATTATATTTAACAATTACAGTTTTCATTAGAAGACTATGCTAACTCTCCCTGTTCATACGGTGCCTTTATTTGGGAGAGTTATTGCACAGTTACAACTCAACCTTAAACTTAGTTATAATACAATCATTATTTTTTATCGTTCGATACAAGTAATACAATTATTTACACAAATTATAATTTAAATTCAACATAAGGTTGCGCTAGTCCCGCCGTATAACCCTTGCTAGTTGTCGAACCAGAGGCGTGGCCTGATAATTACACCGTCGTCATGGCTCCGCCCACCGCTCCTAGGTTGTTCAACTAGCGCCGGTTACAATAAGCATTTTCTTTCGTTTGTTTAATATTGTTGCGTCGTGCACAGTTACATTAAAAATTTCATCTCCCATTTTTTCTTAAAACCCTTGAGTTACTTAAAAGAGAATAATTCAAATAAAATTAAAAAGAATAATTTAAATCAGATTACAAAATCACCTTTTTTGAACTCAAAAAAAAGGAAAGTCTGTGCACGATTAAGATAGTAGACTAGACTGGCTTAATAGACTTAAGTCCGTTTGACACCTTAGACAAGTTTAATAAAAAAATCTCATCGTTGTTCAACATGACAGAGGTAAGTTAATGAGCTGAGCTAACCTTGGAGACTTTGACGACGGTGTCGGGGTTAAAGTCCTTGTGAGTGAGGTAGGTCTTGATCTTTTTCAGCGTGGCGTCAGGTATGTGGTCCTTGTCGTACTCCTGCAGGTTGCGTATGAAGTTCACGTCTGCCAAAAGTTTCTTCGTTGAATCCCAATCTGGTCTGTACACGAGAGAAACGTGAATTGTGAAAATTTTAATTGAGTACAAATACTGAATACGAGTGTGATTGCAAAATATTTTATACTAGCGACCTGCCTCTACGTTGCCTGGTTGGTATCTCTTAATGTCATTTACGTCATTATTTACATTTTTGATTACCACATCGTCCCGTGGGTGTCGTAAAAGACGACAGAGGGAAAACATCATGAGATGGGCAGCAGCGTCTCTCTAATAACGATTAAAAATAAAAAAAACGGTCTGTTTTCATTTCTACCATTCTATTGAGAATATGTTGTTGTTTGATGTTGACTTTTTGAAAGGTACTGACTTGGCGCCGAGCAGGATGCAGACGGGCTCCATGACGAAGCGGACGAGTGTCGGTGGCTTCTGGAAGGCCTTGAGCTCGTTGATGTCGCTCTTGTTGAGCGCCTTGAGAGCTTCCTGCGCAGCCTCCATCGCTGGCATCGCCAGAGCGAGATCTGCTTTAGCTTCTTCTGCGATTTGCTTCACCTCATCAGCTTTTGTCTATGAAAAGCAAATGCATCATAGAGTGTTATTAGTAATGCAATTATCTCAGTGGATACTATGCCATTTGTTGTTTAGTTTTATTTGATGTTCAGTGTTTGATATCTCTTGTTATAGCTGTTCCTATACTATAAATTTTGTAGTGCCGATTAAAATAGAACCTTGGCTTCTAAATTTGCCGTAAAAACTGTGTCTTAGAAACCAGTGTCTTCTCTTTTAGCGATACAATTAAAATTGATTCATATGATTTAAAAAAAAATTAAGTGAAACAATATGTTTGAAGGAAAATGCGTGTGTTTGATAGCAGAGAGTTATAACTGATTTTTAAGAATATTGATTCAATTCAATTCAATATTTTAAAAATTAATACATATAATGCGAAGTGCTAGATAATCATATTATTGTCTTCACGCAAAAACACAATAAGATTGTGAAGTACTGTTATCTAATATAATATGTAAAATTACTGTTATCATTCAGCGTATAAAACGCACGATCCAAACACTCGTATAATTTATTTCCTACAATGGATACTTGGACCTATTTAAGGGAATATTTTGATGATGCTGTCAGTACAAGAATGTCGGTTATTTGTATAAGATCCCATTCACGTCATGTGAACATGTGTCATATCCACGGTGCGGTGCGGGTGAATGCGTGTAAGTCTCTATTTTCTGTGATATTAGTGCTGTTAGCCAAATGGTAGTTTTACAGCCTTATCGGACGAACCTACAGAGTTATATAAAATGGGGCATTGATGATGATGATGATGAGGATGCCAATTATGTCTAAACGTTAGTTTTCCATTATGGTGTCCACGGATATACAAATCAGTGGTCAGAGTGAGTTATTTAAGAGTTTTCTGAGCAGAGGTGGTAGGTTCCGGCTCTGAAGATTAACTTGGATTGTTCGATGTTCGATCACGCTTGTGTACGGTAACCTTGGCGACTATCTCATTGGTCTAGCGATCGCAAACGTAGTTTGCCGTGATGCCGTGTGTGTGAGTAGTGTTAATGCGATGTGTGCGTGTGTGCGTGTGTGTGTATGCACATGCGTGTGTGCATGTGCTTGTGTGCGTGTGCGAGTGTGCGTGTGCGCGCGTGGGTGTGTGTGTGTGCGTGTATGCGTATGCGTTTATGCAGGGGTGTGTGGCGGCGCTGTCGTCGCGCCAACAGCGAAACACATCGAAGCCTAAATCGCACTAACAAAGTTCCGAAGTTAAAGCAGCATATATAGAATAGCTCCGAACTACCACTCGGAGCGTTGGCCGCCCCCCGGGCAGAACACCTTGCCCGGCGGGAGATCTCCTCTCCCACGTGCGTGCGTGTGCGTGTATGCGTGTACGTGTGTGCGTGTGCGTGTGTGTGTGCGTGTGTGTGTGTGTGTGTGTGTATGCGCGCGTGTGTGAGTGTGCGTGTGTGCGTATGCGCGTGAGTGTGTGCGTGTGCGTGTGCATGTGCGCGTGTGCGTGCGCGGTACCTTGGCGGCCGCCTCATCGGCGAGCAGCGCGTTGCGCACGAGGTCGGCGGCGCGCTGCTCGTCACGCAGGCGCGCCGCGAGCGCCGCGCCCTCGCTCGCTTTGCGCGCCAGCAGCGGTTCCATCTCGCGCACTGCCAATTCCATCACGCCCACCGACGAGAACGCGCCCAACAGCTTCTGCGCTCAAATGAATAATATAAAATTAGGCATTCTATAAGGCTCGATCTTAGGACCATTCTTGTTTCTGTTTTACATAAATGACCTCTCATATGTAAGGAATAACCTATGTAACATTGTATTTTTTGCTGATATTACATCACGAGTTTTTAAGTTAAACAGAAAAAAAAAACAATTTTGACGACGAAAACAATACTCTTGCATGAGTATCAGTACAGTTCATTAAAATAATTTAACACTAAGTCCTAAAAACACTACATCAAATTATGTGTGCCAAATGTAAAAAACAATAACATTAATTAACAAAAAAGAAATTAGAAATTAGGAACACTAGATAATATAAATAAATAAAACTCTAGATCCAATGTAGTTTATTGGAATTATCACATAACTTCACTTAAAAAAAAAAACTGCGTTCAGCTGCTAAAAAAAATACGCAGTTAATTGACATCGGTACTGCAAAGTCGACCTTCAGTTATTTTCATACTAGGTATATTGTCATATGGAATACATTTGTCGGGCAAATCATCCTACATACTGCCCAGACTGAGACGAGAGCCTTTGAAAGAATTGTTTATAGAAATTAACATATCGACTGTAGCGTTATAACATACGCAAAGTGATCAAAACGTTCGCGGAATGAAAGGAAAAGGGGGTGAAATTAAATATGAAATTATTTTTATACAATTATTAAGCTGCTCCTTTATGGTGCCGACTTATTCTTGCTACAACCAAATTATAGCTGCAGCGTGGCTCTACCACGTAAGATATCATTCCATAAGTGTTGCAAGACGCGAAAGAGGGAAACTGAAATTGGAAAATTATAAAAAAATTGCACTTTTTTTTAACTTATTTTAAGCCAGTGCTTGACGACAATCCCACCTGGTGGTAATTGATGATGTAGTCTTAGATGGTATATGGCACTGTCTTAGCGTAACAAAGGCCTATTCACTGTAGCCTTGAAGACGCCCAGATTGTATTCAGACGGAAAGATAGACAATTATTCCTTTCCTTTGTTGTACGCATTACAAAAGACGAAGCAAAACTTCTGGTTCAATGCGTGGAATATCGACAACAAAGGGATGAAGACCCGCCGACCGTCTGGTTGTCTGGTGGTGGAAAGAAGAGGGAGGAATTAAAGCGTGTAATTCCTGCACTCACTCACCGAAATGCATCTTATAGAATACCGAGAGACTGGCTATTCTGCGTATGTGCTCGAGGCTGACAAGATTGCTTTCAACCAAATCAAGGTCACCAATGAGCCTCTTAACATGTCTCTCCACTGAGTTGCCAGTCAAAAGTGGTAAATATAGCAAATATATCTACTATGAGCGAGGTCTACCTTCAGCAATGGAATTTTGACAGGCCTCACCTGTTCGCCAATCCTTTCTATGTGAGGCTGCTATTTGAGTACTCTTATTAATGTCGCATGTTACCCGAATAATAATAAGATGGAGTGACAACCTGGTAAGACATGCAAGAAGTCGATGGATGCGGATGGGGAGAGGGTGGGGAGCTTATGACCGTGCTTTGTGGCATTCTTTAGGGGAGGTCTATATTCAGTAGTGGACTTGTGAAGGGCTGTAATGATGATGATGATGATGAATAATAGTAATACTTATATAAAATGGCGTTTAAGAGATATAAAGAAGACACAAGTAAGAAGACAATGTACGGCCACGCACCTCCAGTCCGCAGGAGATGCGGTCACGTCCGCAGATGATCTCTTGGCGCTTGGTGTCGAGTAAGGACAAGTATAGCTGGAGGAGGTCCAGGTAGCTGCTAGGCGTGGAGTAGAAGTGGCGCCGCAACTCCGCGAACAGCCGCTCCGACATCACGTCCACGTCCTCGCAAACAAATCAATACGCTTCGTTATACTACACCACATATACCTTAAATAAATAAAACTAGTTTTACGGATTTTATCGCGTTTAATTTTACTTATTTCTAATTCCCGACGTTTTGACGACGACGTAGTGAACATGGTAGCAAGGGGTGCTACAAATCAACCGACACGGGAGGAATTATAAATAAGTAAAATCAAACGCGATAAAAATCCGTAAAAATAATTTTGTGGCGGTGCTGTCGTCGCGACGTAAGCGAAACGCACTAAAGCCTAAATCGCGCTATCAAAGTTAACACAAAGAAGAAGTTATCGCGCTATATAATATAGAAGGGCTCTGAAATAACACATGGAGCGTTGGCTGCTCCCCGGTCTGAACACCTTGCCCAGCGGGAGATCTCCGCTTTTTCTCCCAGGCCAAAGTTTTTAATCAATTTGTAGTGTTCGCGTAAAAATAACAAATCATTAGTAAAATTCTATAGTTAAATCTTATTGACGTGAAAACTTCATTAAATATGCTCTAATAGTGGGAGGCAATTCAGAAAACTGATGATAACAAAATTGGTTTACACAGTTTATACATACAAAATTTAATTACATCACTCGATTGCGAAAGGATCAAAGAATTCGTTACGTTGAGTGGGAAGAGATTACCGCCATTTTAAAGTCGTTTCGCTGCGTCACATAGTTTCCGTTTGGTTCACATAGAATACACTGCCGTGTCCATGATACAGCTACACACCGATTTTTTAAATATCGATAAAAGCCTATAAAAGGCCATTGCTCAACATAGGCCTCCCGTATAGATTGCATCATAGGGTGGATTTTGCCATAGTTGCCACGCACGCTTGGCAAGCGGGTTGACAACCGCGTTCCTTATAATTTCGAGTTGGTTTAATGAAAACGTTGCTGTCCATCACTTGGTTTTGTTCCTCTGTCACCTCTTACAACACCCACGGGACGATGTGCGGTTGTGGATATCCTTACACCGCCACTACAGAATACGCCACTATCGATAAGTACCAGTAGGATAATAATGGTGATGATGAATACTGTCAGTAGTTTAGTAGTTGTCAAATTCGCAAAAGAAATTATAGTAAAAATGAAAGTGGTATAGCCGGAGTCAACTTTTAATTCGAACCAATCCAATGCTGATGTAACACTTAATAAGAAAAGCACGGAAACAAACCCCAAGCACAAAACAGACAACTTGTGTTTCATATACAAATAATAACTGCGGCTTCGATTTGAATCAACGACTTGCTCCGTAAGATTATATAGTGAAGGACCAAATCCTCTCAAACATTTATAATACAACTAAATGTACATCATAAGGTTATTGATCTAAGTTTAAATAAATAAATAAATTTTAGTGAAAATGCGTGTAAACCGTGATATGAGACCTGATGCATGGCGACGCAGACAGTGGCGATGTTCTCGATGAGAGCAGAATCTTCAAGTGGTGCTAGGCTCTGACGCGCCACCGACAGCAGAGCTTCGGGCGGCCACTTTGTGAACCAGTCGATCGTGCAGCAGTTCACCAGGGACGGGAACATGCGGCACCGACGCCTTCAAATATGTACTCATACAGGCACAAACAATTAGAGCTCTCGTTATACGTACTAAAACCAACACGAGAACGAGAAAAAAATTAAACAACCTTTAGTAGTGGGGGGTATTAAAGTAAAAGTTTTTTTTTATAGGATAACGGTGAGAAACGAGCACACAGTCCACCTGATGGTAAGTGGTTGCTGCGGCCCATACACATCTACATCTATCCTCTATTACAAATCAAAATGCAGATGCGTTGTCACCCGTGAGGACTAAGATGGAATGTCTCTTTGCCAGTAAAATACGTCTCCGGTTCTCTTCACTCACCATTCGAAACATAGCAGTGTTAAGCTGCTATTTTATGCTGTATTTTATATTGTATTCTGTGAGAGCGTGGTCCTTCCCCGGTCGAGCCGACCCATTCGTGCTACAACTATACTACTAATATAGCTGCAGCATGGCTCTACCACGTATAAAAAATTTACAGCCTATATACGTCCCACTGCTGTTCACAGGCCTTCACTCATTTTTGAGAGGGTTTTAGGGCAAGGCAATGTCCGCCGCGCTGCTCTAATGCATGTTGGCGAAATTCACAAGTTTTCGAATATTTTTTTTTCTTATTTATCAGACATCCAGGTTTCCTCACGATGTTTTCATTCACCGCCGAGTACGTGGTAAATCTTAAAATTGTAAAATTGTTGCACTTAAAATTGCAACAAAAAATTTCATTGGTGCCGGCGGGACTCGAACCCGGGTTGCTCGCGTACTGTAAAATTTACAGTGAGCGCTAACAATTGGAGCTACCACGGCTGCTGTGGCTAAAATGATATCTTATCTATGCCATATCAAACCACGGCTGTTGTAAGAGGTGACAGAGAGAAAATTGAAACAGGACCGGACTGATTGCTTCATATAAGATAGGCATCTGTCTTATAACAACTCAAAATAAAATAAAAAATCTTCGTTGGCCACACCCACCTGCTCAGCATGGTCACTATGGAAAATATTCTCTCTGTCTTATGTTTGCATGTCCCCGCTGTCTATGAAAGCGAGATTTCTTACGTGGTAGAGCCATGCTACAGCTATATTAATAGTATAATTGTAGCACGAATGCGTCGGCTCGACCGGGGATGTACCACGCTCTCACAGAATACCAGCGTAAAATAGCAGCTTAACACTGCTGTGTTTCGTATGGTGAATGTAGAGAACCAGAGACCTATTTTACTGGAAAAGAGACATTCTATCTTAGTCCTCACGGCTGACAGCACATCTGCATTTTAATTTGCAAACGAAGATAGATGTAGATGTCTATGGTCCACAGCAACCACTTAACATCAGGTGGACTGTGTGCTCGTTTGTCATCCTTATTCTATAAAAAAAATATGCATGGTGTACAGGAGATGTGGGGGTAATTATGGTTAAGGTGGTATATGTCTCGTTTAGGTACTGAACGAATGTTCAATAATAATTTAAAGATTATGTTAATGAGTTCGCGCGTCCGTCGCGGTCAAGGTGAATACGTGACTAATACAATTTTGAAATTTCCAGCAAATGTCCAGTTGGACCGCACATCCCTTCACCCAAGACTTTCACTGCCTTATTGGTCTAGTGGTCGTAACCGCGACTGCTTATCATAATATCCCGGGTTCTAATTCCGGCTCGGACCAAAATCAGTTTTTTCCGACACAGGTCCTTCTGTAAGAAATTGTCAGAAGCAGCCCAAAGTGTTACACCCCTGTACCTCTGAAGGCATGTTGGTTAGTCCAGCGACTGATTACTCTCCGATTCGGTCGGGTTATCATTCCATCGGATTATGAGAGTTAGGGAATAGAGTGTGCAACTGTGCTTGCGCATACATTTGGGCACAGTAATCCTGTGCGTGGTACGCAGATGGTTAGTCTCCGTTGAGACCGGCCGCCGTGTAGGATCAGTCTAGAAAATCTTATTTACATCTAAGGTAAATTTTTAAAGGTTGCGAGTGTCTACATCCAACAGTGGATCTAAAAATATTGATAATAGGTGTAATAAAAAAGGTGCGTAATAAATAAGTGGAATAGGGGTCGGCAGGCACCTGAAGCCGTCACCAACAGGGCTCATGCAGATGGCGAGATGCAGGCGGGCGCGCGCGCGCGAGACGAAGAAGCGGTAAACCGCGTCACGGTCGGAGGAGTTGAGGCCGGCGCGCGTAGCCTCCGCACTGCACGCAGCCACCACCTGCTCCAGCGGCTCCCCCTCAAACAGGTTGCTCACCTCACCTGCCACATACGCCCTTTCACTCCACTACTAACAAAACGATGATACACCACTCACATACACAGGGCCTGCGCTCAGCAATTTCGCGTTCTTTTTTTCTTTTTTTAAAACGTTACTCCTACGCTGGAATTTTCTTCTGTGTCATGGAGGCAGCTTAAATAAATAAATTGCACAAAGGCGGACGTTCAGACCCGGAGCGATTATTTTGTAAATCATACAAACACTTGTTTTGTGCGGGATTTCAACCCGCGGCCATCAGCGCTGCAACCCATGGCTAAGCCACTGCGCCATTAAACATTTCATCATATTACTTGCCAATCAAATGATTTCGTTTAATCCAATCTATACAAATAAATAAAATTGAAGTGTCTGTTTGTAATGTCAAGATTACAGCGTTTTACTAAATGTAGGTATATGAAAGTATAGACGGTACTTATTACAAAAATACACTTTTTAAATTTTTTGTCTGTCTGTCTGTTTGTTCCGGCTAATCTCCGAAACAGCTGGACAGATTTTGACAGGACTTTCACTGGCAGATAGCTGATGTCATAAGGATTAACTTAGGCTACAAAAAAATTAAAACCCTAAATTACACGCGGGCGATTTCGCGAGGAACAGCTAGTAAAACTATGAAGTTAATCTGTTGAGATCCTTAAGATTAGTAACGTTGTCCATAGTGTTCATCAAAAATTATACAAACTTTGTTTTCATCTTTCTTAAAATATTCGACCAACAGATTGCACATTCCTTTATACAGGTTATTTTTCAAAGACTATCCAAATTTTACATTTATATTGAAATATATAAATAATGATATACCGTAATAGCAATTTTCGAAAAGTGCGATTCAATTCACAACGTTTTTGCCAATCGATCGACCCTTACGAATGTGTGCGTGCGTAGTAAAATAGTAGGCGGTAGATATTTATGAATGACAATCGGTTAAAATAATGCGATATCGCGCATTATGAATTTAAAAGATAAAAAGGACAGAAAGTTTAAGTTTTTTAATTAATTTTTCATCACCATTCTCTTATATTATTTATTCTAAACCTTCTCGGAAAGTTTGGGCGTATATTGCAAAATAATCCTGTATATTAAATACACTAGTAATATTAATTAGGATATAAGTCTAGTCATATCAGTATCAAACAATTTTTAAATGTATAGATAGCAATTGATACTTGTTTGTGATTAAAATAATAAATTGTTAATAATTATTCTTGTTTGATTTATAAACTTCGTGCTTTTGCAAATGATAAAGGAAACACGTTTAACCGTATAGTGTCGGAGTAAGAATAATTACTACCCTACATCATCCACAGGTGTCGTGACTCGTGGGTAGCAACAGAGGTTTTTTTTAAACTGGCTTTACGGCTCTGGGTTCTAGCCCTTCTGAGAGGCAACAGAGGGAAATTGAAACAGTAGAGATGATTGAGCCAACATTCTACAGATTCATAATTGTACGAGTACTACCAGATCTTGTGCAATCTCGCACATTTAACCTTGTTCCCAATCGCCTATCTATACAGTAGGTACAGTAATAAAATAGCGTAGTCATAAGGATAACATGAACGAATAGAGCTATGCAGACGTCTATGCATCTATACTAAGTGCGACAGGCACCGATTTCAACTTTAATACAGAGTAAGGAATAAACGTGTCCTATATACAGTTAACGTAGTCTTTTGTCAATGAGATATTAGCTAACAAAAGAACAAAATAGCCAATAACATGACCCATTGACAAATAAAGTTTGAAGAGTTTTATTAAATATTTTCATATGCACCGTTGGCGAAGTGTGGTCCGTCTGCACGTGCTATAATACTGACCGGAGTTAAGCATGTTGTTGATATCCTCCAGGAAATCATCACGTGAGAGCTGAGTGTCGGTACACAGGAACACGGTGTCCCGCAGCGCCACGCCTGCACTCATGTACATCTTCACCAGGTCCTCGTGGAATTCTGGGACACCGTAGTTACGCTTCAGCTCCATCCCCATACATCTGTCGTAAAAGTGAGAAATGTAGTTCCACTAAGGCCGGCAACGCACTTGCAATTCCCCTGGTGTTGCAATTGCTCATGAGTGGCAGTCAAAACTTACCATCAGGTGAGCCGTATGCTCATTTGAAAACCCTCTACTATTAAAGAAATAAAAAACAAAACAACAACTGGTCTCTTTCGAGAAAATTCACTGCAAATTATTAACACAATAGTTATTTTATGTTAAAGTAAATATTTACCCAGTGTTTGGTAGCTTTGATGGTGGAAACACCGGAAAAATTGTACTTTACTCGACACGATAATATAAACATTCATAAAATGTTAAAGGTTAAATATGTGTAGATACCAATAACCCGCAAAAACTTAATACCAGCGTTCCACGTCCAGCCCAGGTAACGTTTTGGTTTTTCAAATTTGAATTGGGTGTTTTTTTTTTTCAGAATATTATTTATTTAACATTGGGCCATTATTGTTGACGTATTTATGCTATTTCAATGCAAATTTTAACGACGGAAAGATTTTATAAAAAAAATTTATGTTCCTAATTAGTGGTACTAAAGCACGGTCGCGGAGCAGGAATTTTTTTTATTGTTTTGAGGTTTTGAACTTAATTCCCATCATAAAAAGTTTTATTTCTATTGCAAATAAGATAGTTTTAGCACCTTTTGAATAGTATTTGTGATTCGAAAACCAAGTTTATTCTCAAGTGAATAAAGTTCACATTTGCATGTATTGCAATAATTTGAAGTTCTTCTTGCTCCGTGAATCACGCCATAGTTACGCCAGCGCTACGTGAGGTTGCCTAAACGGATAAACTCTTGATTAAGATAAGTGTAAGGACAATTTTTTGGCTAAAGTAAAGAGTAACGTAAACATTTAAATTATCGAATCGTACACACATGTACATTTGTCCGATTGAATTAATATACTTGATGTGTATTTCATTAATATTAAAATTGTTGAGAAGTTTTTATCTTAAAATAAATAAAACTAAAAGAAATACGCGAACTTGAGTTCTTTCTCGAAACGGTACTCAAGAAAAAGTAAAATTAATTGGGATTTACTGTGTAAGTGATAACTTCTGACATTTTATATTTTTACTCTTAAATATTAAGTAAATATTAAGAGCTGATTGTATACGCATAGTAATATTCTTGCAATAAGCTTTATTTATAGGATAGAACGACAAACGAAGGCACAGCCCACCTGATGGTAAGTATTGCTGTGACCCATAGACATCTACATCTATCCTCAATAAAGAATCAAACTGCATATGCGTTGTCAACCGTGAGGACTAAGATGGAATGCCTCTTTTCCAGTAAAAAGGGTCTCCGGTTCTCTACACTCACCATACGAAACACAGCAGTGTTAAGCTGCTATTTTACTCTGGTATTCTGTGGGAGCGTGGTCTTCCCCGGCCGAGCCGACCCATTCGTGCTACAACTATACTTCTAATATACATAGCTGCAGCATGTCTCTACCACGTATGAAATTAATAGTGTATTGTATTGTATTGTATGAAGTGTATTTTTTCAAGTATATATACTTATATGCAAAACATATTATTTACCCAAATACTTAAACGGTCCTTAATTTTAAGATGCCATTAAGGTTCGTGCTGTCTCTTTTACTTTGAATCAAAGTGACTGTGACACTACGAAACGTAACGACATTTGAAACGTTTGAGTATTTGGCAAATTATAAAATTATTTTACTATTCTAATATGCAATAATAAAAACTGCGCTTGTTTCCGAGTGGAGTCGAGTAAAGCCGACTCAGCGTGACCGAGCCGAGCGTGAAGGTTCACCTTCGTTGCCTGCTCAGTAAATGTACTCAGTATTAGTAATGAGTGTATGCGTGTGCTTACTTGCAGTCGTTGAGATGCGCCGCGAGCGTGGCGACGCTGCGGCGGCCGGTGCCCGCCGGCCCCACGAGCAGCGCGTGCCCGCGCTCTGCACGCAGCACGCGCGCTACACGCACCGCATGCTCCGCCATCTCGCGAAACACCACCAGTCGCATTTCCGCGCGCGCCGTTTCGTTGTACTCCTCCAGGTATTCCTGCGGCACGACCTCTCGTGCTAATTAGGGCATCCACCACTTTTACTGCCACCAGAGCGGCGCAACTCAGGAGTCATTATCATCATCATTACAGCCCTTCACAAGTCCACTGCTGAACATAGGCCTCCCCCAAGGAATGCCACAAAGCACGGTCCTGAGCCACCTACATCCATTGACTTCCTGCATGTCTTACCAGGTCGTCACTCCATCTAGCGCGGATGCCCTTCCTTCTTCCCCATCGGTTGTCGGTTCTTCGAGCTATATGGCCAGACCATTGCCACTTCAGCATACTAATTCTTTGCGCTATGTCGGTCACTCTGGTTCTACTGCGGATATGGCTGGCTTGTTGGTCTAGTGGTTAGTGACCCTGACTGCTACGCCGGAGGTCGTGGGTTCGATTCCCACCCAGGACAAATGTTTGTGTGATGAGCACGATCATTTGATCTGTGTCAGGTGTAATTTATCTATAATATTTATGTATTTAGAAATATATAAGTATGTTTATCAGTTGTCTAGTACCCATAACACAAGCTTTGCTTAGCTTGGGACTAGATGGCGTTGTTTAATAGTTGTGGAATATTATTATTATTATTATTATCCTTGTTTTTAGTCTATCACCCAGAGAAACACCGGGCATAGCCCTCTCCATAACTCGCCGAGCGACTTTGAGCTTCCTCATACAGCCAGCTGTGAAGGACCATGTCTCAGTTCCATAGGTCATCACTGACAACACGCACTGGTTGTACAGTCTAGTTTTCAAGTTTTGAGGTATACCTGACGAGAAGATGTGTCGTAATTTCCCGAACGCTGACCAATCGAGTTGAATCCGTCGATTGACCTCTCGGTAGAAGTTGGACTTACCTAGTCGGACTATTTGTCCTAGGTAAGCATACTCGTAAACAACTTTGAGCTTAGTGCTCCCAACAACTACCGGCATAGGTGTGACATGGACATTAAACATGATCTATGTTTTGTCCATGTTCATCTTAAGACCCATCCGTTGGGAAACACTATTGAAGTCATTGATCATAGTGCTTAGGTCCTCCAGTGATTCTGCCATAAGGACTATATAGCTGACAGTAACTTCTGATGGAGTGGAAACTTGCGAACTTTTCTCTTCACACTTTTCATCCGTGTACTCTGAGAATACTGAATGTACTGAGCAGGATTATGTTTATGACCATTTAGAGTCTTTGAAATCAATAGAAATTAATAGCCTTCACTTAGTAAAGCTGACAATTAATCATGATACCCTATTAAATAAACTAAAAGCCATCAATTGTAATAAAGGGGCAGGTCCTGACGGAATACCTCCAGTGTTCGTAGTCAGATGTGCTGAACATCTTGTTAACCCACTTTTAATTATTTTCAATCTTTCTCTTTGTACTGGGCAGTTTCCTACAGAATGGAAAATAGCTAAAATCGTTCCGGTTCATAAAGCGGGTAGTGCGGATTATGTAAAAAATTACAGACCAATCTCTATACTATCAGTCTTCGCTAAATTATTTGAGTCAATAATTTGTCCTTTTATTAAGAGACATATCAATCTTTACTTAACCACTAGCCAACATGGTTTCGTTAAAGCTAGGTCCACGAGTACTAACTTGGTACATATTACGGAAACACTAATTGAAGCGCTTGATGCGGGAAAACAAGTCGAAGTAATATATCCCGATTTTAGCAAAGCGTTTGATCGGGTCCCACATGATATATTGATTCGAAAGTTAGCTGCCTATGGTATTACTGGTAGTTTGTTGAATTGGCTAAAATCATATTTAAATGACCGAGCGTTTTTTGTAGTAGTGAATGGATATCAGTCAGGCTTGAAAAACATTCATTCTGGTGTGCCCCAAGGGTCACATCTCGGACCGATTCTGTTTGGAGTGTTCGTTAATGAAATACCCAGAATTGATGAAAAGTTCTTGTGCGTACTTGTATGCGGATGACTTAAAAATTTGCAAGATGATAACGGAAGAGAATGATTCAGTGAAGCTACAAAATGATTTGGATCAATTGGTGGGATGGTGCAAAGTAAATCGAATGGACTTAAACATTAGTAAATGTCTTTATGTGCAATATGCGAGAAAAAGTAATACCATCGATTATAGCTATCACATTGGAGATAATAATATACTGCAGTTAGACCAAATTAGAGACCTAGGGATTGTTTTCGATAAAAAATTAACTTTTGTGCCTCACATTGAAAACATTACTAAGCGTGCATCTAGGATGATGGGTTTTGTAATAAGAAATATCAAAGTTTTTCGAAGCTCTAAAATTAAAATTCTATTGTTTAACAGTTTGGTAAGAAGTATATTAGAATACTGTGCTGTAGTCTGGAGACCTCATTATGCTACACATTCACTGAGAATCGAGCGGATCCAAAAAAGATTCATAAGACATTTGTCTTACGCGCGTGGCTTTAGAAGTTATAAGAAGCGTGTATCATATGAAAATAACTTGGTCTATTTCAAAATGATTTCTCTAGAAAACCGCAGAGATATTATTGATTTAATTTTTGCTTCGAAAATTATTAATGGTGTTATTGACTGCCCCGAAATTTTAAGTAAATTTAATTTGTGCATTCCATATCGCTACCCGCGTTTTGCTCGTAAGATTACACCGTTGACTAGACCACATCGTAGAACAGTGTTTGGCTCCAATTCCCCAATTGCGAGAATGAGTAAAACTGTTAACAAATTTAGCGAAACAATCGATATATTTTTCGACCCTCCTAACAAGCTCCGTCGCACATTAAGAGACCATTTCTTGTAATATTCTATAAAACATTTTCTTTTCTTTTCGCTCTATGTATTTTTATTACTGTATATTATTATTTTTTTTTTACCCTAGAAATAAAGTTACAGTGCTGAGATAGTTATTAGCATGTGGTATCCGCCTGTAATTATTTGTACATTTTAGTTCTTATTGGTTCATTGTATTTAAATAGCATGTAAGGAATGATACAAATGTTGGTGGATCAATAAAAAAAAAATAGTCGGTAAATCGAAGGTGAGTGATGTACTCGCCATTGATGTTAAAACCGTATCTTTTCCAGTCCAGAAGCTTGAAAACGTCTTCCAATGCAGCGGTGAAGAGTTTCGGGGATATAGCATCAACCTGCCTTACACCTCTCTGCAATTGGATAGGTTTCGTACTCTGGTTCTGTACTCGGATAGCCATCGTAGCTCTACTGTACAAACACTTCAGCACTTCGATATACCGACAGTCAACTTGGCACCGCTGAAGGGACTGCAGCACCGCCCAAATTTCGACGGATTCAAAGGCTTTCTCATAGTCCACATACGCCTGACATAGTGGCAAATTGTACTCTTTGGACTTATGTACAATTTGCCGAAGGGTATGTATGTGGTCTATGGTGCTAAAGCCCTATCGGAAACCGGTTTGTTCGGGAGGCTGGAAGTCGTCAAGTCTGCGAGCGAGACGATTCGTAATGACTCTCGAAAAAAGCACGTAGACGCGGCTCAGAAGGGAAATCGGTCTGTAGTTCTTCAAGAGAGAGAGAGCAGAAGCTCCACTGTAATTCCATCCCATGCGAGACCTTTCCGTTTTTAAGGTACTGGAGAGCCATTCTAATCTCGCTCAGACTGACGTCCGGGATAACATCGCAACAGTGTCGGATAAGACTCGCTCTTGGATTGTTACTCATCAACGATTATGTGTACAGCTGCCCATAGAACCTCTCAATCTCACTCAAAATCTCGGGTGTCCCGGAAACGGCGTTGCCACACTCGGTCTTCAGCTTCGTCAGTAGGCTCTTTCTGGCAGGCAAAGACTTTGGAGCCCTGCTTCCGCTCGATCGCTTCTTCAATACAAGCTGTATTTAAGTTGCGTAAGTCCCACCGCATGCATTTGGAGATCTCTCTGTTCAGTTGCCTGTATGCTGTCAAATCTACTGAAGACTGCAGCTTCATATCCCGTCTGACAGCCATGATATTAAGAGTGTGATCGGAGAGTTTTTGTGTTCTTCTGCGGCGGGTCTTGCAGAACTTAGCTCCGACCGAATAGACAGTTTCCACTAGCTTGTCATTCATATCATCCACTGCATTGCAATCTTCTAGGCACTAAAACGGTTTTGTAACTCGAGCTGAAAGGTTTCGGGACTTTGGAACAAAGCACGAGGGGGACGGGGCGTTGACTTCATTAGACGATACCTCTCCAACTTAACGTTTAGGTTCAGTATGCCTCTCACCATTCGGTGATAGCTGCCGGTTTTCAGCCTCGCGATCACGGAGACATCACTGAACAGTTGTCGTCTGGTCGTCATAATGAAGTCAATCTCATTTTTTGTCGAACCGTCGGGGCTCGACCAGGTCCACTTCCTGTGGGGCCGCTTCTGGAAGAAAGAGTTCATCATAAAGAGTCCCTCTTTCTCCATGAAGTCGGCCAGCTACTGGCCCCTTCGGTTCCGTTGCCCTATTCCGAATTTCCCTACTTTCAGCTCACCGTTCTCTCTTGTGCCTAGTTTTGCGTTGAAGTCTCCCATTAACACCGTATATTGCGTTTTGGAAGTATGCATGGCTCTAGAGATATCCTCATACATTTCCTCAACTTCTCATCGGGGTGTGCTGAGGTTCTTGCGTAAACCTGTATGACCTTCCTTGAGATATGGGGTAGTGGATATTCTTAACCGCCACTACACGGCAATCGGATCCGTCTGTATATTCTGTAATTTTTATTATTGTAAACATACACATATTTAACCCACATGATGCTTAATGTTAACGAGAAACTAGTGGAATAGAACTAGACTTATTTTATTAAAGGTTTTCAAATTGTAGTGAACCAAAAATCAATTCCATTCAATAGGCACAGCTGCACAATTTCACAATGGTGAAATTTGTAAATTGTTGTTGAAACTGAAAACATATGGTAAAATTTAATTATCGCATACAAACCTTGAGTACTGCCATAAGTTTTTCTATATCTGGTATCTCCTGATAAACCCGATTCTCCTTGGGTAAAGAAGGATTCATAAAATCTCCAAACAACAACACCGGAGGCTGCTCGATGAGTTCACCGTCCGGCAATTCCAGCACTGGCGTTTGGAAGTGTTTTTCGCATACTTCGTGCATAAGTCTATAGAAGTAGGTTTTATCTTCTACGCAGATGAGGCGGTCGTGGAACACGCGCAAGCATTCATGATAGAACAATCTAGAAAAATGATAAAACGGAAATAAGGAAAAGGAAAGTTAAACTAAGCGATGAAAAGAAGTATTATCATACTTTTTACTTACTGTAGAGAAAGTCATTTTTATTTTTTCAATTAAGCTGAATTAAAAAAATTATAATGACGATGAAATGAAATGAAATAGTTTGATGTAATAAACGAAACGAAATATCAAAACACAATGATGAAAAATGTGTATGGTTTCGCATGACAGGGATAGCATGACGCGTGTAGTACTATATATTATACATAAGAGATTACGACCTATGTATTGTCTCCTATCGATAACTCTGGAACCATAAGGCCTAGACACTTGAAATTTGGTACAAATGTTTTTTTCCCCGAGTAGAGTCAACTAAGAACGGATTTTACGAAATTCCACCCGCAAGGGGGGTAGCGAAGGTAAAAAAATCACATTTATACACACATTTTATTTAGCTTTTATAGGTATAATGGCCCCTCTACACTACTCGCGAAGTTGATCGAAGTTGGACGAGGAGAATAGTGTAGAGAGGTACTTCGATTCGCTACGTGCAACCTCGATTCGCCTTGGACGACTTCCGATCGATGTCGGTTTTTGCGCCAGAGTCAAAAGACTTCGCGAAGTATCGGGGTACTACGAGAATTACAAGAAGCGTTTCACTACACTATTCGGCGTACGCTAGATATGAATATTTTTTATATATAAATATTAAATATGTAGCTTTCTACGCAATTATTTATTTATTTAATGCATTCACGTCGTACTGTTTACTAAATTAGGTATCTATAGCAGCTGCCTCTTGAACGTTATTCATCTTAAGGGTGCGGGAGACTCAAGACGACTGAGCTCTTCGCGAAGTAGCGCGAAGTAGTGTAGTCAAATTCTTCGGACTGCGATCGACTTCGAAGAGCACTTCGTCAAAGTTACTTTGCAAGTAGTGTAGAGGAGGCATACAACTTGGCCAGAATATTCTTTTTGTATGTATTTGAATGGGTCCATAATATTTGAATTCAACGCTCAAACTATTGATACAAGTAAGACGTAATTATTCCGGGTGTTCGTAAAACGCTCCCGAAAACGAAGACAGACGATAGTACTAAGGACACCTTTGATGATGGGTCACAAAGAAAAAAATCATCTTTTCACAACGTTTTATTAACTTTATTCACGCTCCATCATGCTAGTACAGCTAAAGGAAACGATAATTTCTTTAAAAAAATTATGAAAATACTTAAACATAAAACCAGTAGTGAAACTTAAAATAAAATCAGCTGATAATAGGATCAATATTCTCGGGGACGCCGAACTCTTATCTAGCTCGGTGCGAAACAATGTCTACTCACTCTACCCTTCCCTTTCACACACGGGCTACTGCCGCCCGGCCGGCTCATGTCGCCTCGCGCTGTGGAATTTTTTTTTTTGGAGTTTATGGCCTGGTATCTAGACCTTTAGGCCAAGTCTTAAGTATTTTTATTCGGTTTATTGTAATTTCCTCACTCCTTCATAGTATACTGCTTCACAATATGTTGATGCGTCACATTGTGCAGTTCTTGGGAGATTTTGGCGGCAACTTGATCCAGCAGACAGCTGATAGTTGGCGATGGTATCTAAAGGTGCCTATGCAAACAAACAGCTTATCTTGAGAATCCATCACCATCAGAGCACTTGTTTCACTGTTTACACTAATAGTTCACATGCGTAGACACTTAATACACAAAATCGCAACACTTTTACATATCAAAGTCCACTTCAAACCATTATTTAAACAATAATACAGGAGCAGCAAACCGCCGCCGGTCAATTTCCCGCCAAAACTCCGCGCTGTGGAATTTACACATGTCAGCTTTGCCAACATGTGGGGAATTCCCAAAATTGCGGGGAATTTAAAGTTGGTTGGAGATTTTAAGGGGATTGATACTGTTGCGCGCCACTCTTAATGTCTTGTACATGGCAACACTAGTTACCAATAGCGCCCTCTAGTGTCGATTAGCAGAACTAGGAAAGTCAAGATCCTTCTAGAAATATCGGGACCGATATGTACTCGGACATTCTAAATGTTTCTATAGTAGAAGGTTTTGGAAACTACCTGAGGCCTGAGGCCACGCCAGGCGTGCCATCGATTATTTTTGTGTGTGGCGTATGACATGACTTAGAAATCGTTATGACTTGCTTATAACAAAATACTCATTATTTTGCAAGTAGTTCATGCCTACAGCTTCGTTTCTGGATATTTAGAAAATTTGAAAGTTTTAGGGGTTGACAACCTTTTTTTAAACTTGTACATGGTACTCTTTTTACTTTGTTGATTTTAAATCATGTTGTGGAAAAATAGTCTAATAAGTATCAAATAATAGCACTCATTGTGATCGCTCACAAATTCAGGTTTTAAATAAATTTCTAGAAAACAAGTCTCCTGTTGATAAAAACAATGCGTTTTTCTTATTGTTTAATTTTGCTTAAAATGGTTGAACTGCCGTCTTATTACTATCATGTGGCCGAATAGACCTACGAAGTACCATGTGCTCTTGTGATATGGTATAAGGTTTATTTTTGTTTGAAACAGTTCGTAATCGTTCATACATAAAAAAGTTCGCTAATAAATAGTATTTTGTCAATACGCCGCCGTTCTCTTCCTTTTGAAAACACTTGTTATGCTATTCTTACTAATAAGACCTTTTCAGATCGATTTTACTTTTACATTTGTATAACATTAAATAATATTTAAAGTTTGTAAATGTCAATGAGTCATAAACCTTATTTTTTTCCAAATTAAGGGTTCTTGATTGTTTGATATTTACAAATGTTATTATTAGGTGAAAATTTAATTTAATAAAAACCAAGGTTTTCCAGGGTGATTTAGCTGTACCCACTTATATAAATGATTTTTTTTATAAAACAAAAAATAGTACAAAAGGTTTGTAACCTCTGCATAAAAAAGTCACTTGCTCTCGATTTCAAAGAAAACACGTAGAAAAACACGTAGTTATCCACTAAAAACAAGTATCCTTCCGTATGTAACTGACATTTGATGGCAACTAAACTTAATTAGGTCTAAACAAGTGAAAAAAACATAAAAAAGAAAATTATTTTTACACATGGCTGATGGCACAATAGGCGATGATGGCACAATAAGCTGGCTTCTGTGGCGCTGGACACGCCAGGCGTGTCATAATAATTGTTCGCCGCCATAGCTAAAACTCGGTGCCGCAACGAATCGGAACGAATTGTAATTAGTGCTCTGTAATTAAAGTGTCAATTTTTGGTAATTCAATCAGCAGTTTTTAATAGTCTCGAACCCCAAGCTCGTAACAATTTGTGTCAGAAGTGGGATCAAATAATACCGATTTTACCAAAGGACGACATGGAGGGTATCCGTACCCGAAGTCAACGCCAGCTGGAGACGGACCAGAGACGATTTGGTAATGCAACGCCACAAACGTCGGAGGGCCAGCTGCCGACCACAGAGGCCGACCCGTCAGCAGTTCCTGCATCTGCAGCACCTAACTTAGGTGCTCTGATGATGATGCTGCAGGAGCAGGCCCGCCGACAAGAGGAACAGGTCCGCCGACAGGAGGAACAGGCCAGCCGACAGGAGGAACAGGCCAGCCGACAGGAGGAACAGGTCCGTCGGTTAGAAGAGAAGCTGCAGCACGGTATGGAAGAGCAAATGCTTTCATGACGAACCTTCACGCTACCTTCGGGAAAGGGATAAGGGACGTGACATATAGGGTTGCTCAATATGAAAACCGCCTGTCAGAAGCTGAAACCCGAATCGACCAAGTGAACAATCGTGTTGACAACGTGATGGCTGACGTGAAGAAAACGCTGGACGACCTCAAGCTTGGGGATGGAATTACAGCTCCCGTGGGTAGCTACAACACCTTCGCTACGTGGATTAAAAGTGCCACCGTTCGACGGGACTTCTTCCTGGTCGGCCTATAAAATCCAGTTCCAGAGGCTGTCATGAAGGCGAACGGTTGAAATAAAAGCCAGGCCTGGGCCTGTGCGACCAGGCCTTAACTGTTCTGGAAGCTCTCGGTAAGAAAGTGACTTACGAGCAGCTCATTGAGGCATAGGAAGCGAGATTTTTTTTAATAGGATAAGGGTGACAAACGAGCACACAGTCCACCTGATGGTAAGTGGTTGCTGTGGCCCATAGACATCTACATCTATCCTCTATTACAAATCAATATGTAGATGCGTTGTCACCCGTGAGGACTAAGATGGAATGCCTCATTTCCAGTAAAGAGGGCCTCCGGCCACCTGCAATCACCAAGCGAAACGCAGAGGTAAACCTCTACTTCACGCTGGTTTTCTGTGAGGTTGTGGTACCACCCCGGTTCGAGCCGGCCCATCCGTGCGACAGCAACAGCTGCCGCGTGGCTCTACCACTGTTAAAACTGAGATATGGGGACGCTCACCTGGAACACGTCTTTCGTGCGCAGCTCAAAGATCGCGTGCACACGCAGCAAAGAAAAGCTACAGCAGTGGGCCGTTGAGGTGGAGTACCTGGTTCGGAAAGCATACCAGTCTGTACCTGCGCTCATTTTAGGGAACCTGGTGCAGAATCATCGTCCCCATCGCGTCGAGGAGGTTGCAGCAGCTACAGTAGGATACAACCCTAGGTGCTACGGCTGAGGGGAAAGGGGCCATCTTCAATCCAGCCAGAGATGTAGAAAGGGGAGGTGACCGATGTCGAGAGGGTAGTGCGGTTAACAGCACCGCCTAACAGCAGCAGGGAAACTGACGGGGACTGGCGCGTTATTATGGAGCCAATAATGCTCGGGACGAGCGTGTCTTAGGAGGGGGCAGTGTTGCGCGCCACTATTAATGTCTTGTACATGGCAACACTAGTTACAACTAGCGCCCTCTAGTATTGAGTAGCAGAACTAGGAGAGTCAAGATCCTTCTAGAAATATCGGGACCGATATGTATTCGAACATTCTAGATGTTTCTATAGTAGAAGGTTCTGGAAACTACCTGAGGCCCTATATAAGGCCGGTATAGACCACGACCGAGTCAGTGCGAACTAAAGTGATCAGTATTACATTTGTGTTTTATTATTAGTGTGGTTTAAGTTTTAATTAGTGCTCTGTAATTAAAGTGTCAAATTTTGGTAATTCAATCGGCAGTTTTTAATTGTCTCGAATCCCAAGCTCGTAACAATATTATGCGGGGAAAATACGGGGAGTTTGAAAATCGATAGCCAGGGCCAAGTCAGAACCTTTTTTCAAGAAATCGAAATACTTATCATTTTTTTCGATTACTTATGAATATCGAATGACTCCCTTTTTTAAATATCTTCATTGCACCACATTTAATTTTCGGATTTATTTCGGCAACTTTTGTGTATCATTTAATGCTTTTCATTTCTTTATTTTTTAATGTTAAAGAAAAAAAATGTTAGTTAAAAAGTAAATCTTATAAAATTAGTTGAAAAATGCTTCCTTTCTTAAAATAAAATTGAGGGGAATTTGTGGGGAATCTGTTGAAGTTTTGTCCTTAAATTTTTTTGTGACTTGAATTTTCGGGGAATTTGACAAATTTGTGTTGGCAACGCTGCCATGTTGCACCGAAATTTACCTACTAAGATTTGTTAGGTGTAGGCGGCAATCACTATAAAACTTGCAAGTCATTTTTAATAATTTTGACGTACTTCATTTTAAATTCAAAGTATTGGTCGGATTATATACGGGAATACAATTAAAATAAAGTAAAAGTATTATTTTTAACATTAATTCTCATAGATTAATCACCTGTCGATTATAATCGCAATTGATTTTAACTATTAAATTATTCAGTACCATTCCATTTCTATTTTCTTATACAAAATCAAAGATAACGATGAAATAGTGCTTATAATTCTGCAATTGAGTACTGAGTACCCAATTAGGTACGTTTATTAATTTCAATATAATTTTTGTAGTAAAGAACTGCTCGTTGCGTCAGTGTACAATTGATTGTGTAATTGTATTAAAAATGACAACCATAACTTCTAAATTCCATATGAAGACTAGTCGTAGAGATAACAAAACTTATAAAAATAATATAAACGTTGGCAATGTCGTAACGGTTTAAAGGTCTGTGAAAATGATCAGTGCTTCAAGGACGTTACGACGCACGAGGCATTTGTTTTGGCGGGATTGATTATTAATTTTAGTTTTTGAGACAGTTCCGTGTTGACTATCACGTGCGCTTGAGCGACAGTTCAATCGTTTTGGTTATTAAATTCTTGTTGTTATTATTCTTGATGTTACGTTTAGTGTTTCTCGTTTTGTTTTAAAAATGCCTAACGCGTAGGTACGTTTATATTTTTCGTGAATACGGCAACATGTTAATGTGCCTTGGAGAATCTCATGAGGCCACGGAGGATTTAGATCGGTAAGCTGTTTCATACCTATTTTTTTTAAATAACTTAGTACTGAATTCATCTAAATAGGTACATAACTGAATACATCAGAATAATAAACATACCTACACGATGGATAAAAAATTATGACTAACCTTGTTAACATGTCATTTAAGTAATTTTTTCATTAGTGGGGAATCGAACCAGGTATTTAGTTTATTTAACATGTGAATTACAATTAAAGTGGCTAGGTGGAGACAAGTACAGTGGCAAAATAGTAGGTTAAGTAGATAAGTTAAGTATTTAGACAAGTGTTGTAAATTATTAGGTATTGTGGTACCACCTCTAGCTGCGGGCTGCGCGAATTCGGCGTCCGCGTGTACATTGACCACTAGTCAGCTGATTGTAATACGACTGCTGGTTTTATGTTTAAGTATTTTCATGTTTTTTTTTTTATGAAATTATCGTTTTATTTAGCTGTACTAACATGATGGGGCGTGAATAAATTTAATAAAACGTTGTGAAAAGGTGATTTTTTCCTCGGGATCGAATTTCTTTCTGACCCATCATCAAAGGTATCGTTAGTACTAACGGCTGTCTTCATTTTCGGGAGCGTTTCACTAATCCCGGTATGTCTACCTATCTGAAGATTCTTCTCTTTTGGACATTGTTATCGATATGTTATGTAATCAGGAGGTCTTGTACCATCCGGTTTAAAGATCAGAATAACCTGGCAATCCAGGTTATTCTGATCTTTGAACCGGATATTTTGAAAGTTAATGCTTAGAAAGTTCTATGTTCTTTTTATCGAGTATAAAAGCGTGTGCTGTCACTCAGAGAGTTAATAATAAAAGTCCCGCACGTAATAATATTATTGTATAACAGGGTATGTGTTGGTTGGTGGTTGGTACCTGAGCATGTCTCGTGGCAGCCGCACGTACGCCGCGTGCGCCTGCAGCGCGCCCTGCACGCACTTGGAGAGGTCGCGCAGGTTGAACGCGTAGTGCGCGCGCGCAGGCGTCGGCCGCAGCGCGCCGCGCACGCGTTCGTACACCGACACGCACGCGCGCACCAGCGCCTCGCCCAGCGACTGCACTTCACCTACGAAGTCCTCCAGGTGCCCGCACAGGATCGCCTGCGCAACGCACATCACACACACCTGTCACTGCCGTTTACCATTACGTATTACAGAAATATGTTATTTCTTTGCTGCATTCTTCACTTCGGAAATCTTCGTCAGGTTTTCTCGTCACCCATCGCTTAAAAACGTAAGTTTTCGACCATTGCGTCCCGCCTATACTTAGGTTCCTCCTAACGAAATACCGCGTTCCAGTAAAAAGTGTCTCCGGTTCTCTATATTCACCATACGAAACACAGCAGGTTCAATTTACACCGAATACATTATGTACGTGTCGGCATTTTACATTAAAGTTTTTCTTTGAGCCAGTACATGTACGAATGCCAACAAGGTTTCGTGTGCTGACATACTTACCTAACATTTGTAAACATTATAACAATAAACATTTTGCGCTTAAACAGTATTTTAAGTAACATTTACATCAAAAGGTGTTAAATATCACAACACAGCAGCTATTTTAGCTCATTAAGCTGTTATTTAACACTGCTATTTTGTGAGAGCGTGGTCGTTCCCCGGTCGTGTTAACGCATTCCTGTTACAACTATAATATAGTCGCAGTGTGTTATGCAGTACAACATGTGTTAAGTACAGTGAAGAGTGTGTGTGGGTGCAAGGAGGCTGTGTACTTTGAATATGGTGTTAATGGAGAGCGCGTATGGTGGCGCGAGGTGCAGCACGGCGAAGTGGCGCACGCTTCTTTAATATAAAACGGCGGGTAAATGTTTCTTCGTATTTTATATACAATTTTAAGATAATTTTCAAAGTTTAATTACATGTAATTAATTTGTCTCTGGTCTCTCGCCAAGGCTGTCCAAGGGAATTTCTGTAAGCCATCACTACCATCTCTGCACAGGGAGGATGACTCACTGGCCCATGACGCAAAAGACAAAGCCGACCTTTTAGGCTCCCTTTTTGCGTCCAACTCGACTCTTGATGACGGGGGGAAAACACCGCCGACCATCCCGCCGTGTGAGTGCTCCATGCCGGATGTGCTGTTCTCACAGCGCTCGGTTCGCAAACCACTGCTCTCCCTGGACATCCAGAAGTCGAGTGGGCCTGACGGAATCCCCCCAATTGTGCTGAGGACGTGTGCTCCGGAGTTGGCACCGGTCCTAACGCGTCTTTTTCGGTACTCCTACTCCCAAGGCGTAGTCCCGAATTCATGGAAGACAGCTTTTGTCCACCCGATCCCTAAAAAAGGCGACCGCTCAGACCCATCCAACTATAGGCCTATCGCGATCACCTCCTTGTTCTCCAAAATAATGGAATCCATTATTAACTGCCAGCTCATCCGGTACCTTGAGGATCACCAGCTGATTAGTGACCGCCAATACGGTTTTCGTCGGGGTCGATCAGCTGGTGATCTTCTGGTCTACCTGACCCATAGATGGGCGGAGGCAGTAGAGTCCAAGGGGGAGGCGTTGGCCGTTAGTCTGGACATTGCGAAGGCCTTCGATCGGGTTTGGCACAAAGCGCTTCTTTCGAAGCTCCCTTCCTATGGGCTTCCCGAGAAATTGTGCAATTGGATCACCAGCTTCCTTGCAGATCGGAACATCAAGGTCGTTGTGGACGGTGCATGCTCTGACTACAAGCCTATTAACGCTGGTGTTCCACAAGGCTGTGTGCTATCACCAATGCTGTTTCTTCTGCATATCAATGATATGTTGCTAACTGGTAACATTCATTGCTATGCGGATGACAGCACTGGTGATGCTCTATACACCGGCCGTGCCAATATTTCTCGAGAAAACGTCGCTGAGTACCGGAACAAACTTGTGTCTGAAGTCGAGTCTTTGCTGAACAAAGTCTCGGATTGGGGGCGACTAAATCTAGTCCAATTTAATCCTCAGAAGACACAAGTTTGCGCGTTTACCGCTAAAAAGAACCCCTTTGTCGTATCTCCTCAGTTTCAAGGCACTCCCCTTCTTGCCTCAGCCAGTATCGGTATCCTCGGAGTCGACATATCGAGTGACGTGCAGTTTCGTGGTCACTTGGAAGGGAAGGCCAAATTGGCCTCTAAAAAGCTTGGCGTGCTCAGCAGAGCGGGACAGTATTTCATGCCGGCACACCGCCTGCTACTTTACAAGGCGCAAGTTCGGCCTCACATGGAATACTGTTCCCATCTCTGGGCAGGGGCTCCCCAGTGCCAGCTCCTTCCACTTGACCGCATCCAACGCAGAGCGGCTTGAATTGTCGACGACCGAGCCCTTTCCGATCGGCTCGATTCATTGGCACTGCGAAGAGATGTTGCATCCCTTTGCATTTTCTTTCGCATCTACCATGGGGAGTGTTCTGAGGAATTGTTCGGATTAATCCCAGCCGCCAAATTTCACGAACGCACATCGCGGCAGAACTCCCGATACCATCCACACCATCTGGATGATTGGCGGTCCACCACTGTGCGATTTAGAAAATGTTTTCTTCCTCGCACGACCTCCTTGTGGAATCGATTACCATCAGCGATTTTTCCGGACCGATACGACTTAGGGACCTTCAAGAAAAGAGCGTACTCCTTTTTAAAAGGCCGGCAACGCATCTGCGATTCCCCTGGTGTTGCGGTTGTTCATGGGCGGCGGTAGTCACTTACCATCAGGTGAGCCGCATGCTCGTTTACCCCCTCTCCTATAAAAAAAAATATATATGTGCCATTTTGTTCGATAACTTGTTGCCATCTAGTAGTAGAATTTTTGATCAAAAAAATGCGACAAGTAGTTTTGACAGTTCACTCTTGATGTTAACCTAACACTACCCTAAGAATTCTCAAGAGATTGAAACAAGAGGGTGTGACGGCCGAAGGTTAGGACTATTAGGTGAGCTGAAAATTTCGTATCATTTCTATGAGATGGCACCACTAGAATCAAATCCATAAAATTTTTAGTTAGTACCAACCTTCAAAAGAAACGTGTATAAAGTTGACAGCTGTCTGATTATTAATTTGTGAGATACAGCATTTTGAACGAAGTAACTTTTGTTATTTAAAAAAAGAATGTATAAAAACGAATTTCGTGTGTTAATGAAACACTATTTGTTGATGAAAAAAAAAGTGCTGCTGATACCAAAAAGTGGCTTGATGAGTGTTATCCGGCCTGCGCCGGGTGAAACAACCATTCGTAAGTGGTTTGTTAAATTACGTACAGGCCATATGAGCACCGAAGACGATAAACGCAGTAGACGTCTAAAAGAGGCTGTTACGGATGAAAACATCAAAAAAATCCACAAAGTGATTTTGGAAGATCGTAAATTGAATCACTCTAAAGGAACGTGTTCGACATATCGTTCATGAATATTTGGGTATGCGAAAGCTATGTGCTTAGTGGGTGCCGCGCGAGCTCGCAATCGACAAAAAACAAGAAAACCAGCGTAAAATAGCAGCTTAACGCTGCTGTGTTTCGTATGGTGAGTGTAGAGAACCGGAGACCCTTTTTACTGGCAAAGAGGCATTCTATCTTAGTCCTCACGGGTGACAACGCATCTGCATCTTGAGTCTTTATTGAGGATAGATGTAGATGTCTATGGGTCAAAAAAAAACTTGTCGATGCTTCAGAGCAATGTTTGAAGCTGTTCAACCGCAATAGAAGTGAATTTTTGCGTCGATATGTAACAATCGATGAAACATTGATCCACCACTACACTCCGGAGTCCAGTCTGCAGTCACCTGAGTGGACTGAACGCGATGAACCGAATCCAAAGCGTGGAAATACTCAACAGTCGACCGGTAAGGTTATGGCGTCCGTAATTTGGGATGCACATGGAATAATTGTCATCAACTATCTTGGAAAGGGATAAACCATCAACAACAACTGTTAATATAGCATTATTGGAGTATTTGAAGAAAGAAATTGCCAAAAAACCGCCCCGTTTGAAGAAGAAGAAAGTGTTGTTCCATCAAAACAACGCGACGTGTCACAAATTGATGGCAAAATTGCATGAATTGGGCTTCGAATTGCTTCCGCATCCACCGTATTCTCCAGACTTGGTCCCCAGGGACTTTGTCCTATCCTCAGATCTCAAGAGAATGCTCGCTGGATAGAAATTTAAAGCCAATGAGGAAGTAATCGCCGAAACAGAGGCCTATTTTGAGACTGAACACAAATCGTACTACAGAAATGGTATTGCAAATTTGAAAGATCGCTATATTTGGTGTATCGCCCCCGATGGCAACTGTGTTGAATAATAAAAAAGAATTTTGCCAAACAAATGTGTTTTTCTTAATAGGTTACGAACTTTTCAGCCTAACTGTTATATGGTAGATGCATAAACACTTCCCAACAATGCTTTCTCAGTTTTTGCCGAGTAGCCAATGACGTGTGTGGTCTGGCATTGTCATGATGAAAGACGACCACTCATTTTCTGTTGATAGATTCCGGCCGTATTTTCTCAGTTTCTAGCATGAGTCTCATTAGTTGTTGGCAGTAGAGATTCGAATCGATAGTTATTCGCGGCGGTAAAAGTTTATAATAAACGATGCCTTTCCAGTCCCACCATATACACAGCCATATACACCTTATTGCGTGTTAATCCGATTTTCCTACAGTCTGTGGAGCTTGGCTACCCTTTGACCATGATCTTTTTTGCACTTACTTGTCGTAGATGATCCATTTTTCATGACCAGTGATCCAGTCTTTTCAAAAATGGCTCGATTTCATTACGTTTCGATCGAGAATCGCAAATGAGTACACGATTCATTAGGTTTCTTTCAGTGACCTCGTGTGGTAGCGAGCTTTTTTGTACAGCCAGACTTTGTTAAATGGGTCAGAACTGTATTGTGATCAATCTTCAATTCCTCGGCTATCTCGTAACTACTAATATGCCGATCTTGCTTCACTTTTTCAAAAATTGCATCGACTTTATCTGTATGAGGGCGACCAAAGCGAATTGCATCTTTGACATCAAATTCTCGGACTGAAAACGCTTGAACCAACTTTGTGCTAATAAATTTCTAATCAAATTTTAAATTGATCAAGGTCTGACCAGTAGTTTTCGAGTTATCCTTAATA